ATATGATATAGCTATATTAATTATATAAAGATTACTTATACAAAGAATTTTTTTCGGTGAGTGTGGATAAAGCAATAACAATAAATAAAGCCCATAGTTAGGCGACAATTAAAATGAAATTTGGGCCTATCACTGGTAGCTTAGAATCCCTGAAGCCTTGGGTTTAATTTCCTGAACCATCGCTTCAACATCAGAAAAACTCAGTATCTGGGAAAATCCCCAAAGCCTTTCTCTCTGAAGTTCTTGCAAACTGTATAAAAAAAAAAAAACACTAAGAATTGGACTAGAGAAACAACCCAGTGGCTCAACTTGTCAAGTATGAGATCAGAGATTCTCCCTCCCCCTTTTTATTGAAAAGACATTTTTTTCTCATATAATATATCCTGATTATGGGTTTATTTCCCTCCACTTTCTGAAGTTCCTCCCCATCTCCTCTCCCATCCCACCCCCTTTCTGTAAGACCTGAGTTTTTAATTCCTAGAACCCACACAAAAGTGCCTATATGTCCAGATGGGAACAGAGAGAAAAATCTTCAGAAGTCCAGTCATCTAATCTGGTGTTCCCAATAGTGAACAAGAAACTCTGCCTCAAACGAGACGGAAGGCAAGGACTGACACCCGAGGCCCAAGGTTGGTCCCTGATCTCCACACCTGTGCCTTGGCATGTGTGCACTAATATACACACATACACATGTATTACACATAGATACGATAGGGCTGGAGGATCGATCATTCAAGTAGTAAAGTGCCTGCACACAAGCATGAGGACCCGAGTTCAAATCCCCAGACTATATGAAAAGCCAGGTATAACAGCACACTTAGGAAGATCCCTGGATCTTATTGGTCACTCAGCCTAGCCCTGTCTCTAAAAATAAGGTGGACAGCTCCCCAAGAACAGCACTGAGGTTGGCCTCTGGCCTCCACATACACCCTCACACACATGTACATGTTCGTATATGAACATGCACAAGCACACACGTACATGCACATTCACATAAAGAAGAAAGCCTGCAAAGGGGGTCACACAGGATCTCTGATTTTTCATAGCTGCAGTTTCTAGTAAGAGCTTCAGTGGACAGGAACAAGTTAACGGCGAGTTTGTGATCTTTGTGGGAACCACTATGAGACACAGCCTCTGTGGGACTCTGGAGACTGACCCTGTAAGAACACCTGAGATCAAAGCCATCCTGAGCCGTGTCTTATCTCAGAGGAGGGGTGGATCGCAAATGACTCACAGGAGAAGGAATGAGGTCTTCCTGGTAGGACAGGAGGATCTGTTTGTCACAGCGCTGTAACAGAGAAAGATACATTTCTCCACTACTTGTGAGAATCTGCATCATTAATCTTTCGATAAATGTGTTCTCTGCTGCTCAAAAACTTGCTGAACACAAGTCCTGAATACAAGCCTCTTTGGGTTTTTTTTTTTCTTCTTTCTTTCTGACACAAAAGAAGGTGTGTGATCACACATTATACACCTGAACATATCCTGCTAGGCTCAAATAAAGGCTGATATAGGAGTGTGAACACACACACACACACACACACACACACACACGAGAGAGAGAGAGAGAGAGAGAGAGAGAGAGAGAGAGAGAGAGAGAGAGAGAGAGTTAGTTGCCACAATCTATAGGAATTTGCCTGCTGCTAAAGCAACAGAGACTTGTCCAAGATTTAATAAACCTAGTTCTGCCTCAAGAAAACATTAGGTTTCAGCCCTGAGTTCATCTATAGCCGGGCTCAGACCTCCTCTTAAACCCCAAGGGGGGTAGAGGCTCTAATCCCTTTGATCTAAGCAGGGGCTCTCTTTTTCTAGAGGGCCCTCCATAAAGCTTGGATTAGAACTGGGGCCCGAATGTCACGGGCAATTTCATCCCTGAGTCTCCTGAGCACATCCGGGAAATTTCAGTAAGTCACAGCCTTACTAACCCAGGAAGTGTGTCTGTGAAGATGAGGGGCTTTGCCAGGAAGAAAGCAGGAGAATTGTCTCTGTGTGTGGCTCTGCCGGGGAAGGAGCGCCAATAAATGGAGCTGACCAGGTGCAAACACTTTTGCAGTTTACAGACAATTGAGAGATAATACCCATGGAGTTCCCACAGCGAATCCACTCCCTTTCCACCTCCCAGAAGCTGCGAGCATCCGGGAACATTCCAAAGCAGGAGCCCGACAGCCTCACCTCCATGGTTCATGCGAGCAAGGACCTGAGGTCTCACTCTGTGGTCTTTATCGACTTTTTCTTGCTATGTAGCCCAAACTGGCCTGGAGTTCATGATTCTCCTGCCTCTACCTCCCAAGGAGTTTACATTACAGTCCTGTGCTACCATGCCTAGGTTTCCAGTACTTTTCACATGTGAGCACACACACACACACACACACACACACAAACACATACACACACACTATAGCGACATCTGCGAGATGATAGAATAAATATGAATTTGCTTGACTACTAATTAATCATTTTACTGTCTGTATCAAAACATGATGCACGTTTAATATCTGCAATTAGAAAAAGAATATAAGACTCCCATTTGAGACAAAAAAAAACATAAACAGCAATCACGGAACTAGAACAACATGTAACTATGTAGCCGCAGCCCTCACTGGCAGGAGGTTAACAAGCATGAATTTGAAAAAGAACCGAGCTCGCATGTTGTCTGACTGCAGGTCAACACATGCTCAGGAGAGGTGCATTCCTGCATCAGAACAATTGGTGAGGCCCCATACACATGAAAATGAATTGAAGCGACAGTCATTAGGTACTCTGACAATTTCATCTTACCCCTTGAGATAATTGGATAATGGCTACGACGTAGAAAGAGCTCCTATTAATCATCTCTTCCACGTACACCTTACACTATTAGCTCTTTGCAGCATCTATTTGGCCTGATGGCATTTTCATTGAAACATATCATGTTCTCTTCCTCCCGGGTTTAGTATCATTTGGAAAGGTGGCCTCCTACATGTCCACCCAGCACCAAAAGGGCATTAAGTTCCTAAGCGTTCATAAGGGTTGGGATTTTCTTGGGTGAAAAGAAAAAAGCAAGCTTTCTATTTGCATTCTCTTCGAGTGGTTCATTCTGTTCACATAGCCGAGGCTGTAAACAGCCAGTGAGAAAATTAAATTCTGACAAACAACTCTCCCCTCAGCTGGCGCACTAATTGAAATTGAACCTAATGTCTCTGCTGAAGAGCAATCAGAAAGTACACAGAAGGAATTGGCAATAGAGAAAACAGTCCACCGTGACCTTCAGAGTGAGCCTCGGTAGCCTGAATTCAGGCAGAATATTCCCACTGCCAGCAAGTGAAGGTAGAGACTCTAGTGTATAGCGTATTGTTAACTCAAACCACATGGAGTAGAGGGTCAAGATAGTTCGCTGCAAGGTCTCATGGGTGACAGACCCCCAAACTTACCTTTATGCAAGCTCCTGAAAATTGAGTCAAAATTCAAGCGAATGTCACAACAATGGCTCATTTTCTATCTAGATTTAATTTTCATTGAAATAAATGCTCCTGATTTTTTTTTTTTTCTCAATAGGAGAACAGAATAGGATCGTCCTGAGTTCTTGGCTAAAGTCTATTGCAGAGATATTGTCCTGCTGGCCCCACTGGGCTGCTCTCTCAATGCAAAGGGATAAAGAATTCCCACAGCGTCACAGTAGAGACTGCCAGCGTCAAAGCTTCACACGGTTGGAATTCCAGCTCCATGGTATAAGCCATGCTCTAGGAAGAGATGATCTACATTCCTCGAAGAGAAGCAAAAGTGATATTTAAAGTTGTCAATGCCGGAATGCGCAATAGAGAAAGGAAAAAAATGTATTAAAAGCAGCAGACGGGTGCGCGGCCGACTTTCGGCAAAGAGCTACCGTGCTTCTCCTTAGGACAGTGTTTGAAAAATGTTCTCACTCTTTGAAGTGAGCAAGCAGGATGCAAGGCTTGGTACAAGTACCAATTTAGGTGTATCACACGTAAGTGCTGCACCCAAAGTTAACTCAGCACGCACTGACATGACAACTGCTTGTGGATGCTGGGCTGATTCCGAATATATACAAAATCATTGTTTTGGTAAGCTAAAAAAATAATTATGGAATGACAGCTTTTAAATGGGCTGACTTTATTCATAGTCTTTATAAAATGCTTACGAGGTTTCTACTCGTCCATTCCTACCCTGCCTATTGACGGCACAAGCGGAGGTAAAAACCAGGTATCGCCGGGAATAAGAATGTGAAATACAGAAGGGCACTGTCTTGGATCCGTGGTCCACGACCCCAGACAGCTTGGCACTCCACGAAGGCACGAATGCTAAAGGGCTGTAGTGGTGGAGGGATGGGATTCTGCCTCCCACCGGGACTCACCTTCTCCAGCCTCACTGTGTTTGACGAGCAAGCTTCTCCACCTGGAGTGCTTTTCCCCAGGCATTCACCGACCTCACCCATGGGATTCCATTCAAACGACAGCTTGCCTCCTCCAAAGTCCAGGACTCTCCCTCCCTCCCTCCCTCAGGCATGTCATTTTCCAAATCACAGTCTGCCTCCTTAATTCACACTGCTCAGTACTCAACTTTACACTAATCTGGTGTGTCGTCAGTCGACCCACCGTAAGGCAAGCCCCCCCCCCAAACAGAGCATTTTGCCAAGCTGTGCATTGTATGTGAGCAAGCACACTGGCTGGCATGTAATTCTATAACTACCTGTTGAACGGATGGATTTTTTTCTTTTTTTTTTGTTTTTTTTTTTCTTTCTTTCTTTCTTTATTAAATATTTCTGTCTCTTCCCCACCTCCGCCTCCCCTTTCCCTCCCCCTCCCTCGTCAGCCCAAAGAGCAATCAGGGCTCTCCGTCCCGTGGGAAGTCCAAGGAAAACCCTCCTCGAACGGATGGATTTTTAACAATATAAAGGTAAACAGAAAAGATGTTTAGATTTCATATTAAATCATACAAAAGTGTGTTTGACAGCAGTGAGGGAAATGCTTCGTGACTTTGACTTACGTTGTGGAATATTATTTTAACTATGTGAAGGTATTACATTTGTTTACGCTGCAGAATATTACTTTATGTGTTACATTTGTTTGTGCTATGTAAAGATGTGTTGCATTTGTTTTACCTGATTGGCCTCATGAAAAGCTGAACAGCCAATAGCTAGGCAGTGAAGGGATAGGCAGGGCTGGTGGGCAGAGAGAATAAGTAGGGGAGGAATGTAGGCTCAAAATGGTGGTAAGGGGTGGGGTGAGGGACGGAGGGAGGGAGACGCCCAGGGTCAGTCAGCTAGACATGAAAAAAAGCAGGAAAAATTGGACATACAGAATCAAAGAAAGGCAAAAAGTCCTCACACGAAACAGATAAAGAGAAATAGGCTAAATTAAGTTATAAGAGCTAGTGGGACAAGCATAAAGCCAAGAATTCGTAACTTAAACAGTCTCTTTGTCATGATTTGGAAGCTGGTGGGCCAAGAAAGCCTGCTACAGATGTATGACTTTGACAAAGGATTTTCAAATTATGACTAGTGAAAGTATTAATTAAAAAGTGTAAAGAGGACATTTTTTGGATAAGATATATATATGAATACACAACACATAACTATATATACATGTATGTGTGTATATGTATGTATGTGTATACATATATATAAAATTATAAGAGATGTGTTTGGTAACTGGGCATGTTTGTAGGCAACTATAATCTCAGCAGTAGGGAAGCTGGGATAGGAGGGCTTAAGAACAGGAGGAGGCTCTTTAAAAAAGATTTTTCTAGCCATACACTGACACCTAGTGGCTACATACGTTAAGTATGGCCTGGCCTGGCTCGTCCACTGGCAAGAGACTTCACACCTGTACGGATTCTTCTATTCCAATTTACCAGGCGAATCACGAACGACAATAGAAATGCAGAAGAAAAGCAGGCAGTAAAGCTAAAGTATTTTATTAATAATTTATTGTAAGAAAGGCTGGCTAATGGTAACTTTCAGTAAAAACCTTTACAAGACCATGGCATCACAAATATACAGACACTATAAAAACTGTGTCGTGGTGGTTTTGGTTCTAAACAGGTATGCAGAAGGTCCCCTTTACACTTTCCAATAATGAAAAATGTTTATCATCCTAATACAGCAACCCATTTAAGACATGTCCAGTAACAGGTCTTCCTCACCTTGTATGTACAGCTAGAAATAAAGGACCGGACTGAGATGTGTTGATGAGACGTCACACTTCAGTGGGAAGGAACAGAGTGAAACCCTGGTTACATCAGAAAAATCAGGGTGCTAGGTGACGGACGACGCTAACACCACCCAGATCTAGAGGAAAACAAACGCACAAGGCATCCTGAAAACGTAGTTAAAACTATGAAAAAAAAATCAAATCTGTACATAAAATTTACACACACACACAAAAAAAAAGCAAAATTAAAATAATCGGATCTATATAAATACATGGATCATGCTAACAGGGTGACAGGACTGATTTCTGTTTCATTGTTTTAACAGAGACACATCTAAATACGAAAAGGATGCTCAGAAATGGCACAGGCGATGAAAACCCTATCGATGACAGTCAACCGGTTAGGACACTGGAAATGGCTAACATGTCAAGAGGCGTGTGGTTCCGTGCAGCCATGCCCGCTGCAGCTCGCTGAGAAGCCCATCAGACCGCTGCAAAGAACACTGCGGAGATCACTGATACCGTCTCTAGGTTCGTTAAAAGTCCAGGCACTTTGGGGAGGAGTCTGAGCGTCACACTTGGGTGTGCTGTTGGGCGTCGAGCGGAGGGATTGTCACCTCGTCAAAGTGGCCCTCGTCCCCACTCTCGTAGTCACTCATCATGACCTCAGACTCCACTTCACAGCACGCTGACACGTCAGAGCAGGAAGCTGTGGAGGGGTACACAGACATGGGCATGTTTTCTATGGTGGGGGCTTCCAAGTTTCTTGGATACCCTGGAGGGTAGGGGGCAAAGGGTTCTCTACGCGGACTGTTCTCCCTAGGGCCTTGTTTCTGAGGTTCAGACATATCGACGGGGTAGAAATTGGGCAGGTACTGATTCAGATTGAATCTCTGCCGACCTCGGGAGGACGAGCCCAAGCTCCCTGCAGCAGGCATGTCTCTGGGCGGGTGTATGGACTCGAACTGGTCGCTGAATTCTGGAGGCAATGGTGGCAGTTCATCGGGCGCGGGGAAGTCCTCCGGTGGGGGTGGAAAGTCACTTTCAATGTCATAGCCTCCAGGGTAATAGTCAGTATCAATGGCATTGGGATCTGCCGAGTAGAGGGGGGTGTGCTCATCAATAACCTCGTAATTGGGGAACTCTTGGATGTCCGGCAGGGGAACACTTGGCATCCAGTCTGATGTATCCCAGTGGTACCCTTGGTAGAAAAGAAAAAGAGATTTTCAGTTTGTTTCTTTCAGCTTCTGTGCCCTGGGGAAAGAGCTCAGTGTATCATAGGCAAGACACAGAGGTGTATGTGCGTTCGTTCCATTCCAAGCGCATGGCTCTGCAAAACCCTTTGCCTTGAAGACACAGCCCCGCCCCAACATCCGGACTCTCTTCCCGGAACGGTTTAATCCACATCTGACATTCAAGGCAACAGAGTTCAAACAGAAGCAGCTCTACCATTTAAAACACATGCATTTCTACAACCGATCCCAACCACTCGTCAGCTTCCCTCCTGTAAATGCTGGCCCTGCTCGATACGAAGGTAGTATAGGAAGTTAGTAAGAAGCATTCGAAGCCAAGGTCTCTCTCTAGTAGGGGAAATTTCAAATATTACTGGGCTCTGTGTTGCCTGTCATCCCAAAAAATACTAATTAAGGCAAATCTAAAAATCATATAAATAGCCTTTTAAAACTCAGTAGTAAAGGTAACAGTAATAGTTTTATTTTTAGTAACCATGATGAGCTATTTTAATAGAGGCTATATCCCTAAATCAAACAAAATAAAACCAAGTAAGAGTTAAAAATAACAGTTTGCAACAGGCTATACCAATAAATCTTGGTTATATTTAAAAGGACTAAGGGTCTTTCTGGACAGTATGAAAATACCTTAAAAAAAAAAGTCCTAACTTAAGGGTAAGTGTTTTTCTTTTACTCTTTTTAGGGTTTAAAAAACTCTTCGACAGCTAAGAGAAGGTTAGACGACCCATCCATCTTACACGGCAGTGCCCAACCATGGCCCTAAATACTGCTGTAGCACCAAGCACCCCAGTGAAGCAAGTCGGCATCGGGTCAGTCTTTCCCGAAGGTTTTTAGTGATCACCAATGCACAGCTGGCATGCATAAGTCACCTCTTGGTTTGCTGAGGTCAGGAGCAGCCAAAGATTCTTTTGGTGGCAGAGTAGAAAGAAAAGAAAACATTGATAATTAAAACAGATAGATGGCGGAAATGGCAACACAGATCATAAGCACATGGTATGATATAACGTGTTCGTAAAGACCCAGCCAGCCAGACACATTGTCTTTACCTCATGCTCTCTAGTGAGCGCGAATGAGAAATTCATGTTGCCCAAACCCAAAGGGACGTGGAAACGAAAAAAGAAGACAAGCAAGGGTACACTAGAAACTTTGCTATGAACCCTGGAAGCGGAATTTTCCTAGGAAAATGATAAGCTGCAGGCATCAGTGCCATGTATTGATACTGTTTGATTGGTTGCTTAATAATCTAAAAACACATGGCGCCCCACAGTGTGCACATAGTACTTCCAAAGTCCAAGTTCAGAGAAACTGATGTTACATGCTCAGAACCAACCAGACACCGGCCACCTCCCAAGACCTTATACACTTCTCACTGTGATTTCATATTTATATTGCCAATCTTTTCCTTCATTAGCTGCATTTATTGCTTGGCTCCTTCCCACCAAATCTGTAGCTCCTGTCTCTGTCCCAGCGATTGCACTACCCACAGAACTCTGGCCCCAAGTCCACAGAAGCAGGTTGAAAATCTCAAGACCATGGAATGGTTTGCCTAGGGAAGCTTTAGATTAATTTCCTACATGAAATGAGGTGAAAACCCCACAGATTATGATAGAATTAAGACAATGTGGGTCAAACAGGGTCCTTTAGGTAAGGTCGTCATCATCACTGTGAGAACAGTCATAGGGGCAGAACTGTAGCTGCTGCTCTACACAGGACTAACGCTCTCTGTGCACTCCAGTGTTCCTAACTCTCTCTGTGCACTCCACAGTGTGCCTAACGCTCTCTGTGCACTCCACAGTGTGCCTAACGCTCTCTGTGCACTCCACAGTGTCCTTGAAAACCCAGAGAGTGGCAAATTAGTAGTTGATTGACCTCTCCGGTAGAGTTTAAACAAAAGCGGAAAAGACAGAGGTTTCAAAAATATGAATAAAGTGGGTATTCAGGAAAAGTATCTATGGAGTTGTTTATTAATGTAGTACGTTTTTGTTATAGAGGAGGCACTTGATAACCCTTTACACTTACGTGAGTTTTCAACTTTAAATTCACTTTAAACAGTAGAAATTACATGGAAGAGACTGCTTAAATTCTTTAAAAACTTCTGCTTCTTTAAACTATAAATATTTATTTAACGTATTGGAATGTCATCATGTTTCAACTAAAATTGGGTAGACAAAATACAGATAACGTTCTGACTAACAAAGTGAAAACACAGTACTTTTAAGGGAAATTCAGTTCCCTTAGTAACTGTAACCGTTGGCATGAGACACTGGCCCTGCTCCTCTCTCTCCAAATCCAGCAGGAAACCTTGCCTCTTCCACCTAAAAGGCACCTGCAGCTGTGGTCTTGTGGAAGAATCTGTGTGTTCACTGCTAGAGATGCTTGAGTATTGCATGTCTTTTTCTGTCTGTCTCTGTGTGTGTGTGTGTGAATACGTGTGTGAGTATGTGCGCAACTGTAGGCTCTTGATGGTCTACGCAAGCATTTCCCAAGGGATGATTTCTACATCAGGATATTTCTAGACCCAAGCCAACTGTAAACTGATTAAAAATGAAAGTTCTCGGGCCCAACACGGACCTACGCAGTCTGAGCGTAACTGGAACTAGCCTCCATGTTTTCAGCAGCCGTCCACAATACTTAAAAAACAAGTAATGAAAAGACATGCAAATGTTTTCATATGCACTCACACTGCGAACACACATTTCCCCCAAAGGAAAGTCACCAAATCTCCCCAAAATATGAACTACTTTAATAACAGGACAATAGGCAGAAACACATCACCCCACTGACAGTCACCTGAAACCACAAACACAAAACACGAGCACTTATACCTTCTTTATTCACCGTGTCAACGACAGGGTTGACAAGGTGTATTACAGTCACTATGGAAGCTTGTAAAAAGGCACAAAAAGAGCAATTAGGAAAACCCTTATTTAGTAGCGAACAGTGCGATAGATAAAATTTCTTAATTTAATGCAATTTATCACCTAATTTAAAAATGTACAATGCTTTGATACCATTAGGCAATTATGCATGACCCTTGCACTCCCCCACGGGTCTCAGGACATTTCTAATCAGCTGTATACAGTTACTATCAATCAAGTGCATGAAACAGCTATGTTTTAGTGGATGTTAGAGGAAAAGCTTCGGCTAAGTATGTCCTACAGTTATAATTATGGGTTATATCGGGGAAGAAAACAATTCAGATCTACATCTCCTGAACAAACAGTTACACATTCAAAGAACTAGTATATTGCCTGAGAATAAGGAAATCTAGGGAGATGGATGTGCAGCAAAAATATAACTACAACATAAACTGGTTGCGTCCCTTTTGCTTAGAGTGTATTTCTCGTCTCACAGACATCTTCTGCATTTGTGTAAGATTAGCTTAAAGTACCAACGTCAGCATAAATGTGCATGTAAACAGTTGGTACGTTCTAATCCCGGGATCTAATGACTGTTTTACACACGAAAAACAAACAAACAAAACCGTCCTGCTGTCATTAAGGCTCAAATGAAGAGGAGGTGGAGGTTTCCCGAATTAGCTGGGTGGGCTGAGTGGACTGGACAGGCTTGTTAAAGGGAGCCATCCCAGCTGTGGGTGCAGCCTGGCATTTTTACTACAGGTACTGAATGGGGAGCAAAGTGAACTGTGAAAGCTAAGAGCCTGAATTAGCAAGAAGGTGAATGACTGCTAGGCACTGGAGAACAAGGAAGCGGAGAGCTTGCGGAGATGCAGCCCCACTGACTCCTGCCTCCAGCCCCGAGACACAGTGGACTCGTATACTACAGAACCACACAAGAACTGCTTGTGATCTCTTGGGCTGCTAAGCATGCGCTAACTACTTCCGTGGTTGAGAAAACTACTGACGAAGCGTCAAGTGCACACTCGGCACAGACTTGAACTTTGTGGCTGACAATGAACGCCACGATCCAACCACCAACGGTCCTGTGCAGACCTTCTCCACACTGCTTCACCTAATAACTTGTATAACTAACCTGGCAGTGACTTTGCAAAAGCATCTGAATAATGTTAAGAGTGAAGTTTAAAAGAAAAAAGAAAAAAAATACGGACAATTCTCAAAAGTATTTTTGAATGGCATTTAGGGGCCAAAGTCTAAATCAGATAAGTTGGCAGTACAAACTTTTGAAAACTGAAACTAATGAAATAATCCTGTTTTGTTCTTGTTGGTTTAATAACCAACAATACATCTATATTCTCCACTCAGGAGTAAACAAAGATACGCTTTAAATGCTAAAACACGCTTGAAATCTTCAGGAAATAGAATACATTCACCTTTAACGAGAAAAGGGCGCTGCAAAGTTCTATAGACAAGCAGACCCAGGGACCCAGAGATGCGACTCACTATAAATTATACTGCTCTGATGATGGACTATGGTTATTTTGGACTATGTTATGTTATTTTGAAACTGATAGTTATCAGCAAATCTCTTCTTTACAACGTTAGTAGTAAGTTACAACTTACTATGTAAACACATTGCATAAATTAAAATCGAGCCTACAATTCTGAGATTCAGTCTTTTCCAGGAGACAATCACTATCACAGTACTGATCATTTCCCACACGTGTGCTGACACAGCGAGGCTGCCTACGTCAGTACGGTGCATCCTGGGGGAAAACCAGACAAACACAGCTGGTATCCTAGATCCCACTGCAAGCCTGCTTCATTAGAAATATAATCCGACTTACTAGCCATCTCTTACACTCTGCTCTCAGTCAGTGTGCTCTGATCCAAATGGGAGCTGGGGCAGCAGTGGGGTGGGGAGGAGACAAATAAAACCTTGTAATACCAAAGGTGTGATGGAAAGTGAACATTTCAGACTTCTACACATCAGAGGGTGCACATACGCGTGTGTGCACTGCAAGGTCAGAAACAACAAACAAACACACACACACACACACACACACAAAAAAAATCAAAGCTTTCGTAACACTTACTGCTATGCACAAAAAAGTACAAATAACACAAGAACAGCCAAACAGTTGAAATTAACTATGTTTTCTTTCCTATTGTTATAGTTAAAATAGCATTTCAGTAAGAACGCTGTTTTGTTTTGCAATGCTAGAGACTGAACCCAGGCCCCTGTCTATGCTAGGCAAGTACTCTATGACTGAACTATCTTTCAATGGTTTCCCTGGCACAGGTTCATGTAAGCACTTATACCGTAGTATACATTTATGCCAAGGGAAACGGGACATTTTCCTACTTAATCAGGGAACCCGGTCCACCTACATCACTACACAACACCATGAACATGAACGACATTTCCAAGTGGCCACAGCACATCACCCCGACACTCACCATTGTCGTCACAGGACTCTGACTGGAAGGAGCTAAGGGACTGCACCTCGGACAGGCTCTCCCGGGCACTGTAGGGCTGGGAGGGCTTTTCCTCCAGGGGCTTCTTGGAAAGACAAGGATCGAGATCCACCACTTTGGCTGAAAGGAAGACAGGGCAGGTGAGCAGTGAGTTCCCTGTTCCCTCTGGTTCACAGTCTATAAGCAAGTACCCAGCCGAGCTTAGTGCCTGAGCTATGGAACGGAGGGGAGAGAGCTAAGGAAGCAATCCCAGAGACGAAACAATAAAAAGGCCTACAGATATTCTCAAAAGACTCAACAAATTAGAATTTCTCCATAAAGAAGCCTGTGAAGAGGTGTTGAACCAAAATTCATCCTAAAATAGCATATATAGCGGGCTTTTTCTAAAGCTTCAGGTATGTGCTAAGCCACTGTTACAAACACCACTCGTAGGAAACTCAACTACCTTGTCTGGCTGTAATAAAAAATTAATTAGCGTAGGAATGACACATTATATAATAGTTATAAATATAGTAAGTATATAAATGAACAAATGATTATTAACTAAAAGCTATTAATAAAAATTAATTAGCATAGACTACCCACTACTTCTTGTTATAATCAAACACCCCAAATCATAGTTGAGAATGTGTACTGTTTACAAAAGTGAAATGATCCTTCCAGAATAACACTTAGAGCATGATTAGATCTAATTTACTAAGGAAACTCCAAGCTCCCAGGCCCAGCTAGGAATGGGAATATCCAAAAGAGTTTTTGTCACCATTTCTGGTTGGAAAGCATTACCGCCAGCCCCATCAACACAGCTGAGCCAGCCGCCTCAGTGCCACCCCAGTGGCCCTGGAGAGGTGGAAAACGTGTTCTTACCGTCATAGTCAAAGTCCCAGCTAGGCTTCTGTATGGAGTCACTGTCCGACGGGGAGTTGGAAGGTGGTGGTGGGGGCAAGTTTGGAGCTACGCTGCACACGGCCACAGCTTTCCTGTGTCCGTGCATAGACTCGGGGTTGAAAGTACTGAATTCTGGATGCTCTGGGATGGCGGAGCCTTCGAAAGAATTGCGGTCCAGATTGTTCCTAGAGTCACTTGGAATGCTCGGAGTGTAGGAGATGGGGCGGACAGGCACCTGGGGTGGTATGTCGGAGTAAATGTTCTTGTTCAGCTTAGAATCGAAATAAGGTCTCTGTAAGAAAGCCGTGGTTGGCCCCAAACGTTTGTCTTCCGGTTCAGCCTGGGGTTTCTTTTTCCGACTGATCATCTTCCGGCAGAGGACGAACACCACCACCAGCAGGAAAATCCCGGCTATAAACACAATAATTCCTATCCCTTCGGCCAGGCCAATGTTCCAGGGCGTGGACACGTACAGGTTGGGAGCGGCGTCCTCGCAGTGCTTCCCTCTGTACTCGTGGCTGCAGTTACACTGATAGGAGCCATAGGTGTTCTCACAGAGGGCGCCGTTCCGACAGGGGTTCCCAGCACACTCGTCGATGTCGCTCTGACATCTGCCAGGGGGGAAGAGTGAGAGATCGCTGTAACAGATACCAGACCACGCCAGTCCCGTCATCCGTCAGAATGAACACGAAGTAACACCCCTCCTTCAGAAGGGATGCCAAAACAAAGTGAATGGTAAAACAATCAGAAAACAACAAAAGTAGAAAGTAGAGCAAAGGCCGGGCCTTTTGTAGAATACTTAAGTCATTCCGCTCATACACTGCATGGATAGTTGAGGTTAGGTAACCATACCAAGCAATGTCTAACTACATTTCTCCAGAGTTAACAGATTACTAAACCAACTCAACGGGCTAAAACCTCAGCTGTTTCAAGGTCTGACAGTCAGTCTACCATTCAGAAATAGGGACCATGAGGCGCACTGTCATAAGGAGTGTGTGCTGCAAACTGTTCTTGTGAGCCAGAGGGAATTCAGTGAAAACGGTCCTGTCTGGGACTGCGAGAGCGCTGCGGGACCTCGGAAGGGGTAGAACACACACTTCCCATTTTAAAATGTTACGTCTTCCAGAATTGTCTTCCTGGGGCATGTCACCCTCACGGAACAGACCACAAACCGTCCCTTCTGCTTTTCTAAACTGGGACGTGCGGGACTGTTGCGCGCCTCTACTCCTCACGCCTGAAGCGCTTTCTCATTTGGGAAAAAAAAAAAAAACCTATTTGAAGAAAATCATGAGCAACTAGAATAAAAACTCTGAATACTGGCATATTTTTGTCAAATATAGAGGAATATTTATTGATCAGGGCTGGGAAAAAAAAATCAGCTACTGAACTGGGGCCGCATAACTAGAGGCAAAATTCAGGACGCGAATGACCGCGGGACAGTGATAGAGAATCACTCCAGGCAGGCCGTGCACTCACAGCGTAACGGGGCTGAAGGACACTTATCTCAGTCTTCTGTGCTAGGCACGTAAAATTACGTGTACTCAGGAGCATTCCGCTGTTGCTGAGGCACGGTCTTACTACACAACCCTGGCTAACTCAGAACTCACTACTTAGACCACAGGGATTCACCTGCTTCTGCCTACTGAGTGCTGGGATTAAAGGGTATGCCACTGTGCCCAACTCCACTAACTTTTAAAAAGAGAATTGACAAATAACTTGCCAAATACAAAGCTGCATCTGAGAGTAGAGGTTCTTGTGCACTTTTCCCTAAGAAAAATAGTCTTTTGTGAACTCTAAATGTCTAAACATCTAAGTCATAACCCCTCTTGGGCGTCTACTGGGGTTACAAAGGGAAAAACAGCAAGGTTTAGATGCTGGATCAATGCTGGTAACGGAACACTGGAAGAAACAGTCGTAAGTTTCTCTATCTAGGATACACGGCACTGTGTCACGGGTACCTGCTTTATAAAAAAACACAAAAAACGCAAGCAGGTAACCAGTGCACAAGCATTTGCTCCCTGCCAAAGACCCACAGACCTAGAAATACCAGCACTACAGGACAGAAGCAGGGTTTTCCAACTGTATATTAATTAATCTTTTTGATACTTCCTTTGGTCTAGAAGTCCTAAGACCAGCGAGGACCACACATTCTGAAGAGACGCATGTAAGTGGGTGAAGTGTTAATAATGGTCAGTGCCCTGCGGAAAGGGGCAGCCAGTTATGAAGCTCGAAAGAAACCATTTACCTTTCTCCCCTAAAGCCCGAGTCACACTGACAGACAGCACCGTCCAAACTGTCAAAACATGTTCCACCATTTTTACAGGGCTCATCTTTGCAGTAGGGACTAAGCTGACATCTAAATCAGGAAGAAAAAGAAAAGAAAACATACGAAACACCCTCATGAGTTCATGGCACAAATAAAGACACCAAACAGAAAGCACCAACAAGTGAAGAACGCAGGGACCTCTCCTCTGCAGAATCCCATGCTCCAAGTATTCAACCTCACAATTCGTTAAGAAAGACAAACCTACCTCTGGCCGGTGTACAGCCCCCGGCACTGACAAGCGAAGCCTCCGTTGTCCACTATGCACGTACCACCGTAGAGGCAGGGGTTGGAGGCGCACGGGTTGACGCTCACCTCACAGTACACCCCCGCGTACAAGGCGCTGCACTTGCAGTAATAACCTATGCAGCGGGGAAAGAACGAAAACGCCAGTCACTTGATGACCAGGAAAGGTTTCATGTGCTTTTGCCTTTGCGTTAAGTGAAGACACAGCCCCCCAAGATCTACGAAAGGCAGTAAAATATCCGTTCTCTCTGGGTGAAGAGCTATCCGTATGGGGAGCCGCCTTCCTACTGCCATGGGCTGCGTACCTCTCATCCACGATTCCGGGATCGGAAAGGACACAGACGTTAGAGGTTTTCCACGTTCAGGAATATTTTTTATAGATTTTACTGGTGGAACATTTCCAAACTGGAAATCTGATACCCCCCCCAAATGCCCCAAACTCTGGGAATTTGAATAACATACTGGCAGCCAGAAAGTTCTGGATTTTGTATTTTAAAATTTTAGATTTTAAAATTTAACACATTCACCTTGGAGAAGCTCAACAGAGACGTGTTAAAATATTTGTGACTATATTTAATTAATGATAATTGCACAAGACTAACGGGTCAAATGTACTGAGCCCTGGTGAACACACGCACAAGCGATATCATTCAATGATGTGTTAACACCCACAAGTATTATTTCCAATGATATGCCTTTAGGGAACATGGCAAGACAGTTCGTCTCTGTTCCCTTAAAGGCTAGACACGCTCTAATTTATCTTTGGCCATGGACATTGCTGCAGGAGGAAAAAGAACATGGTAAACAAACACTGGCCCCTCAGACTGGCCCGAAGTTACAACACACGCTGCTTAGTTCTGACTGCACTATCTGTGGCGAACACAAGAAGTGACATCATCGAGTAAAAGGAGGCCCACCAATGCTACCTGGGAAAACTGCTTTGAAATGGAAGCATGGGTAGCATCCGAGTGACCATAGCAGTACGAAGCCTACCTCCAGTAGGTGAGGGGTTGCACACGCCTCCATTCTGGCAAGGGTTGCTGGAGCAGTCTTCTGTGGCTGATAATAAGCACCCGTGAGATAAATCCACCCATTCTTCAATATGTGCATAGGCTCTTGGCTTGTTATTCAAAGGCAGCTCCTGCCCATTTAGATAAATAGAGTCCATGCAGCCCCTGAAACCATTGGCGATTTGGGAGCTTCTTCCATGCTTTGTTCCTTGCTGGCGGAGGTGGCCGCCAAAAAACACATAGTTATCCAGGTTTAGGGTTTTCAGGGCCCCTGGGGCAGTGCCCGAGGCAGTGTGGACTTCATCTAGAACCAATTTAGCATAGTTTCCCTCCACTTCAAGGGACACTGCGTGCCACTGCCCATCGTTGACTTGAATGCTTTGAACGGAGACAATCCCAGGGCCACTTCCACAGTCAAATTTGTACTGCAGTCTTCCAGCGTGGATCTACAACAGAATAAATACCGTTCACACCAATCACATACCGTCTTCAACGGCAGTCCGTGAAAGGAATCCTTCTACAGGAAGGGTATGATTAGCAAATGAGGGGAGAAGCAAGACAAACTTGTGACTGGGAGCTAAAGAGCAAAAACTCATTTATCTATTTATACAAACGACATAAATGGATCGTCTGGGGGCTCCCAAAAGCCAATCACACATCCAAAAATAACATGGAAGTGATTAATAATTAACTATTAGTTGAACACATGCAGCCTACATATACACACAAAATATCATATAGGATCTCTCTATACACTATGGTAATATTAGGAAGATATAAGGGACAGACTTGAGTGTTGGCTGTCACGTGTCTAAAAAAACGTTTGTTAAAGAACATCAGAAGTAAATTTCTTTGCTACTGGGTGGCAGAAAGAACTTTCGATCCCACCCAAGTGTCAAAAATTATTCAGGCCACGAATCCCTGAGACATGGAATAAACCCATCTTTCTTTCTCTGTTTTCAATGGAACAGTCAGAACGTAAAATAGAATTTACATTCATAGTCTCGCACAACCTGAGGAGGAAGGATATATGAACACACACCTCCAGGATACTGTAATCCGTTCCCCGAGCATACATCACCACTGCATGGGAAGAGTAGGTTCTTAGCCGCATGGTCAGTTTCATCTCCAATTTGTTTTCGTTTTCCATCAGACGGTATTTTACAAAGCTGTTCCCGGTAAAGGTTATGGATGAACTCCCTAAGGATTACAGAAGAACAATTCTATCAGCACCGAACTTTAGCGCATTATTAAAAGCATGATCCCTCTCTTTCCCTAGAGGCTGGCTTTTGTTTTTTAAATTTAAGATTATAGCAATGGGAAGCATCTTTTGGCTTTACTAGACAGCACAGCAACTGACTTTCCACGTGGAGGAGAATGAGAGCACTCTATCACAGAGAACTAAGTTCTAAAATAATAACAGAACTGAATATAAAACTGTCCTATGGAAGTTATTAGGAGGCAATTTCCGAAAATAGTGATGTAGCCTCGAGGTGATTTGGCAAAACCTATCAAGCAAAACACACAACAATCCCCATTTCTAGCAAGATGAAAATCGTATCAGCCTCCAGAAATGAAAATTAAGTTATGCAGAACTGACTAAACAAAAATTCAACTTCAAAATGACAAAAGGCACATTTAATGAAACAAAGACCAATACCAAGAAGGGAGGGTAAACTGCAATAGGAAGCAGGCTAATATTCATAATTCATAAAGAGTTATAGACATTCAGAAACAGACAGCCCAAGAGGTAAGCCACACGACAGGAAAGGCTAACACCAACTAATCATCAGTGATTCCTTCCTTCAGCAGCAAGAAAAGTTAGACACTTAAACACTTAAGTAAGTATTCTAGGCCCACTAAGGAGGAAATATGGCTTTTAATTGAATGCTTTCAATATGGATAAGTAGATGAGAACTTCATGGATGGCTAGAAAAAAAATTGGGAATTATTAGTTCAATTTTTTTTCAAAACTAATATAACAGTATACTTAAGTTTTTAAAAAAATATATTTAATTTTTGACAGTGGATTTTAGTTTCAGAACATCATGGAACAGAGCTAGGAAAGCCCCAGCATGGACAAATGAACTTCAGAAGAGTTTTAGCAGGAAAGACAGATTACAGCCTCCATCCAGAGAGAATGGTGACCTGACGCAGCTATTAAAACAAGTGAGGATTACATATAACTGGCTGGGAACATGGCCTTAGAGAGCTAAGCAGGGGAATAAAGTAAGAAGTTGAGGGCTGTGGTAGAAATCGGGATTGGAGAGAGAGCAAAAAGGAAAAACGAAGCTCTGAAGATTTTTACGGCCACCGAGAAGGGCTCAGCGCCAAGTGCTAGCTCAGGGTTCAAGTCTCCGCTCACCTCTGCACTTAGCTTGCTGCGATCAACAGGGGAACAAACACGGAAACGTTCTAAGGGACAATGGTTTGAAATGAACGCACACCTGGTCACGGGAGCGCTCACCTGGACATTTGCCAAGCCCGCCCCCGGGACACACGCAGCTGTACTTCTCCTCCCTGGGGTCAGGGACACATTCGGAGCCTGCAGGACACGGGTTTTCTTCACACCCATGGTGGACAGGCGGGCATTTCCCATCTTTGTTTAGAAAAACAGGAGGAAGAAACGTGAGAACACAGGAATAAATTAAAAGCAGCAGCAGCTCATTACTGATCTATTCATTTATCGTCGTGGCGCTGGAGGGTTGAACCTCCAGCCTCCTGTCTGCTAGACTAACTCTCTCCCACCGGCTTACCTGGCTTACATTTATCTCCAGCCCTTTTCTCAGTTTCGAGACAAGATATCATTGCGTGGTCCAGGCTAACCTGGACTGGTTATTTAGCCTAGGGTGGCTTGGAACTTAACAATTCTTCCAAGTAGCCGGGATCATAGGACTGGGATTACCAGGTCCGGCCATGAAACACTCTTCTTCTAATTTTTTTTTTAAAAAAATTAATTTAATTTTATTTATCATGTGTATAGATGTTGTGTGATATTTTGTTTGTGCTCTGACAAATAAAGCTTGCCGGGAGATCAGAGGGCAGAGCTAGCCACTAGTTAACCATAGAAGCTGGGCAGTGGTGGCACACACCTTTAATCCCAGTATGCCCTTATTCCTGATATCTGACTCCTGGTTTTCATTGATTATGACTAATTAGGTTTATGCTTCATATGGATGCTGCATGTATATTTGGGCACCTGGTCCCCATGGAGACCAGAAGAGTGCATCCCTGGAACAGGAGTTTTACAGGTTGGGTGACGATGTAGGTTACCAGGTGCTGGAGATCAAACCTGAGTCCTCTGAGCCATCTCTCCAGTGCCCCCGAGAGAGAAAATTCTGTAACCCTCAGTTCCACACACGTGCGTGCTCTTACCTTTGCAGAGACACACAGCTGTTCTGTGGTGTCGGGGGGTCACAAAACTCAACCTGGCCGTGCTGTGTGTCGACATGCTGTTTTCATCCACAGACACCTTCTCATCGCAGAACTTCCACGGGCAGTCCAGCCCTGCACACAGCTTCTGGAACACGTTCAGTATCCTCACACCAATGATCTCCTCGATGTCGGTCACAGAAGAATTAATCTTGTGCAGAAGCTGTCTTGTTGAAACCTGAGTGCTACCTGACTTCTCGACAAAGAGTAATATGTCTAGATGCGAGTGTGGGTCGGAGGGCTGCAGGCTAACTATCTGGATGTCATTCTTCCTAACACCCAGGATGTTCCGCAAAGCCCGCTGGAAGTTGCGCCAATAGTCGCCGACGAATTCTTCCGGGGTGAGGTTGGCGAAGCGAATGGCAATGGTGTGGTTCAGCATCTCCTGCGTCACTTGCTGGATGTGCACGGTGATGTCGGCCACCGTGGTAAACTTCCCATCTGTCACGCTGACGTTGAGAATGTACTGGCCGATGTCAAGTTTTCGGTGTGCAATCAGCTTGCCCCCCGTGCTGGACACCGAGAACAGGCCGTCCATGTGGGGATCCAGACTGTACGTCAGTGTGTCGTACACATCCTGGTCAGTTGCGTGGATCTTTCCTATGACCCCACCTGAATATTCCTCTCCAAAAGCAGTGATGAAAATCTCTAGTGGCAAAATGGCAGGAGGGTGGATGCTTTCCTCAATAACCCTGATGTCAATATGCGTCAGCGAGGACAGCGGAGGTTTCCCATTATCAGATACCTACAAAAATAGAAGTTGCCTCAGTCCTTGTCACAACTACTTGATAAACATCTAGGTGTTTTGCTTAAGTTCTGCAAACTTATCAACTGTTTATCAACAGGAGCCCACCAAGGAAAGGGCAGCTATTTTGTCGCTTACACATACAGACACTAAGTTCCACGCCTGCCTATGAAAAGGTAACCTAAGTGCAACTAGGCCAAAACTGAAAGTGCATTGGGAAAAACAAACTATATTCTCTTTTGTTTTCCGTAACACGTAAGGAAGCTGTTCTCTATGAATCCAAGCGAAACCACGAAGAAAGACCGCGATACCTTAACGTGCAGAAGGTAATGGTCCTTCTCTTTCTTCTTTATGGCCGCAGCCGTCAGGAGGACCCCGTGCTGGTTCACTTCAAATGTGTTATCATCATTTCCACTCACGATAGTGAAGAAGAAGGGGGGGCCATTGTGAGAGGAGTCCTTGTCTGTGACTACCAGCTTCAGGACGCTGACCCCCACTGGCTTGTTCTCCTGCGTGATGTCAAACAGAACAAAAGCTGTCCACACAACCAAGTGGATACGGTAAGGGACACGTGAGGCTTTCTGATAAGCATATGGACAATAAAAAACAAACAAACAAACAAACAAAAACACCTTCCTGCTGATAAATCAAGGAAGAGGAGAGAGAGCTGGAGACATGAAGGACATGGGAGAGGGATGGGGCCTCCAAGGGGTGGGGGAGGGTGGAACAGAACCCATGGGGGTCAGGGGAGAAGTAGCAGGCAAGAGGACAATGGGGGAAGGGAGGGGAAATCAGAGCATTAGAAGATTATGACAAGTTCTTCCTAGTTAATCTAGATCAGTGAGAATATCTTTATAAAGAACAGAGCACGAAACGGATGAAGGTTGGCCTGTGTCTCGTAAACGACTCTTCTAGACTAAGAAGGAATCCTCTAATCTCATCTGTTCCAGGTTTTTTTAAACCATGGTCTGTGTCAAACGAGAGCCAGTGAAAAGATGGAAGGGGCCACACCCCCCAGCACACCACCCCCTTACCTGGATGATGACACTGTAGTTGTCTCTGGAGAAGAGAGGTGCGTTGTCATTGACGTCGGACACATCGATGTTGACCGTGGTTGTGTTGACTCGGGGCGGACTGCCGTTATCAGCAGCTTGCACCGTAAGGGTATAACCTGAGATCTGCCCAACGGAAACACAGAACCCCCATTCATTGGCACGGGGCCAATCGACTGGCAATCACGGACCTCATGTGCCAAGCTTTTGTCTAAGCAGCGCCCTATGATTAAAAATGAAAACTCCCAACCAGTGCGTGTACTATTTTCTCAACAGAAATAGCTATCAACAAGAAGCAGATTCTCTGATGTCTCCCATTTTGGGGTCTTATTCAAGTGCTTGGTCTTAGAACCTCTTACAGTCCTATTAGAAACAAGGAGACAAATTATGCAGATGACAGGGGAAACTGCTGCCCTAGCCCAGCGGCTCTTACTTTGGGGATACCATAGATGTCACTTTCCCAAGAAGCTAGCCTGTGCTGAGGCAGAAGAGAGACACGTTGCCTCTCACCCTGTGTGCGGATATACGCCAGGTCGCCGTCGCCTTCAATTTCACACCCGGATTATACCGAGTTGTCTAAATCCCTCAAGGTAATATTTGTGGCCTCTTGTAAAAGATATCGAGTCAAGAGAGACAGTTTCCCTGCCAGGGCAGTGCCTGTTATGATAGCTTTAGAGTAAGCGTTGGGAGCAGCCAGGGAGATGGCTAAATCCCGGAGCACCATTCTGTAGGACATCGGCCTAGTGAGGTGTTCAACCGTAACATAATTGAGAACTCCACAGGCCTCCGCCTCTACCATCTCCTAGTAGATACTAATGTGTCAGAAGAGCCTGGTTCTGTAGTGACAATCACTACATTTCAGGCGGGTATGCTGAAAGGGACCTGCAGTTCCAGCCTCAGTGAGTTTGAGGCTAGCCCCAACTATACAGCAAGATCCTGTGCTTAAAAAGAGTCACTTACTCTGCCTAGTATAATAGAATTTCCTATGCTTAACAGTCGTGCTTCACAGACTCTTCAGTAACTCAGGGAAAAAAATCTGAAGAGTTGAAACTTTAATCAACTTTAAGATATTTCTATCTTAACGTGTCATCTCCTAGGATGGTGGTTCCTTTTGGGGACCCCACATTACACCACACAGATACGAACACAACACTTTAGTGCTTTGTCAACAGTTTAAATGCCTTTCGCAAGCTTACCGTTTCTCGGTCTAGGGGCTTGGTCACTTTCACTTCTCCTCTGACAGGGTCAATCGTAAATGGACTTCCTTGGTTCCCTTCTATAATCGAGTAGTGGATGTGACTGTTTGATGGGCCGTCAGCATCATCAGCCATAATCTAGGAAATATCACTCTCGTTTAGGAAACAGCTAAGGAAGGGCTGGAAGAGATAACAGCGAGCTGTCTTATGGCCATCATTCAAAGCCAATAACCGGCTCGACAAGGACCTTCTAAAGATTCAGCGGGACGACGCGGCCTCACAGGGGCTAGGTGAGCACTCCAGCGCCAAGTATGTCCTCTGGCTGAACAGCTCAACGCGCTACCACATTTAAACAGAACCAGTAGAAGAACTGGAATGATTTTACTGGTTGCTCCTTAAAGATGCAGAAGAGGCAAGCAGCGAGGAAAACCACGCACCGTAATGACCGACTGCTCAAGAGCCGCGTCTTCACTGACCACCGTGGTGTAGGTATCCTGGCTGAACACTGGGGTGTTATCGTTGATGTCCGTGACGTTGATGTTCACCGTCGCCACGTCACTCAGTGAGGGCGTGCCCCCATCTGTGGCTTCCACGGTCAGGTAATATTCATGGGAGCTCTCATAATCCAGGTTCTCAATGATGAATATGGCCCCTGTATGGAGAGACAGAATTACTTCTGGAACTCCGCAATTCCAGGTTTTTCTTATTACAACATTACCACCTTTAAACGCACTTAGTTCTCATTTCAAAAGCAAAACAAAAACAAACAAAAACTGTGTATATTTTCTGGTTTAATTAAATAATTAAAATTAGGATTTTTACCCACCCAATATCCCCATTTATTTTTTTATCTTCCTTCTATTCTGAGTGATGTCTAATTTTCTGTCCCCGTCAATAATGCTATCTCTGCTTTAAATGACTATAAAGTTTTAAAAATGATGGCAGGTCTCATTCCTTCCTGGACATAGTTTACCACAAACTTCAGTTTAAACACAATTTTTTTTAAAAAAAAATTCAACTCAGTGCCTTTTGTTTTTTTTCTTATTGTTATTATTTTCATGCATGTCCTTTTTACAAAGAAGTTTCCGAGGTATTAAATATTAAATATCGTATTAAATATCCCCTCTTACAATGATGGGACACAGGGATACATGCTTCTAATAATAGCAGCTAGAAGGCTGCAGCAGGACCAGCCTGGACAATACACCAATATCCTGTTTCAATAAACAAGCAAATAAATAAAATAAAATCCCTTACTGATTTAACAACACTTGAAACACTTCTCCTTGGCTCATCCTAGTCTATCCTACTTAAAAGAATAATTGATATAAAATTCCTAAGGACATTTTATAACAGACATTAAAAATACATTGTAGAACGGCATCCTTGGACACCTATGCTTCATCAGAAACAGTCTCACACACGACAGTCAACTAGGTGCAGTCTGAAAGAGCAAAGCTTTACAGTGTCCTGAGAGTTAATAGGCATTTTAGACAGGCTTAACACAGCTACACCTCTATTCACAAAGCAGGAGTTAGTAATGCTGAGCCCACAACACTGCTGGCTCGGTGTAATCCAATCTCTGTCAACTAGTGTATGCAGGTGGCATGCTAAAGAAGAGAAACTAATGGATGTCCAGTGTGGGAATTAGGATCTAAGAGGTCAAAAGAATAGTGTGGCCGGGGAAGCCACTCCCTATGCTTTTGATAACTGGGATAAAATGAGTAATTACCCAAGGTTTATTACCCTAAGCATCCTACCGTGGCAAACCAGGGACACTAGACACCATCACTAGACTGGGTGAGAGTCAGCAGCTTTCTACACAGACTTGTAATTTACAACGGATACACCAGAAAAGAAGTGACTATACAGAATTTGAGTATGGAGCTTCCCAAACCCCTTTCAATCCCAGTCTACGTAACAGAGAGAATACTTGAGTTTTACCTGTTGGGGACACCCAGTGACTAAGGACACGTGACCCGTCCCTTACCATGAGGTCGAGATAGATCCGGCCCTAAGTACGGAACGAGGGCTTCCTCGTTTACAGGGAAGGTTACCTGTTTTAGAATCGATGCTGAATTTTCCATGTTCGTTTCCACTTATTATTGAGTAGGTGATTTCTGCATTTGCCTCAATATCCCGACTCGCTGCGTACACCCGGAGAACTTCGGTTCCGACGAGGATGTCCTCGGACACGGTGGCACCATATTCACGGTACTCAAACACGGGCGGGTTGTCGTTTATATCCAAAACGGACACGACCACGGTGCCAGTAGCCGTCAGTTTTCTCGGCAGTCCTTGGTCCACTGCTTTCAGAGTGAGGGTATACACTGCCTGTTGCTCTCTGTCCAAATGCTTCTCTAACTGGATAATCCCAGAGAGCTCGTTAACGGAGAACTGCCCATCAGCAGAGTCGATCAACGAGTAGGAAATCTTCCGGTTCAGTCCTGGCAGAGCATAAAATTCTGTCAGGTTTCACGGTGAGGAATGTAACATTTTTAAAACGCGGGACATTGTCAAATGATAAAATGCAAAGATATATTTTAAAGACCCCAGCATGTAGATGATCTGAAAACATACTCTGAATTACCAATTTCTAGACTTGACATGTGATCCATAGATGTTCAACTTTTTAGGCTCTCACTTAGACTATGTGGACAGTAGCCAAGACTTTTTCAATGGAATATTATTTTTATTATTTGAGAACTATCTATAATATGTAGGTAGGTAATATTCACTGTCACTTCTAGCGCCCCCTCGGTCCACATCTATGTTCCTTCCCATCTTCTCATGCTCTTTTCTTTTTAAAAAATAAATTCACCATGTCAAATGTGTGCTGTTCTTTACTCATGGGTATGGGAGCACCCGTCAGAGTGTGGGTGACCAACCAGGGGCCACAGCTGAAAGGAAATTCACTGTCCGTCCATCAGAAGCATAAATTGTCATTAGCTCCTCATCTAGGAATATGGGGCTCGTGAGCCCCTATGCCTTCAATGCTAGGGTCTGTAAGTCTTATTAAAATGACATCTATTTGATATTTGGCTTCAGTGACCAAGAATTATCTAAAATGTCACTTTTTTAAAAGTCAGTATCAATGACTCCAGAAGACATTCTCTAGTATCGGAATGTCTGAAGGCATACACTCATTTTCTTCACAAATACTTCTGAAAACTGATAAAACTTAAGCAAATATAGTACTTGCTTGCTATGTTCCTATGAATGTAACAATATCTCTACAGCACTACTGATTTATTCACTAAAAGCACCTCAAAGAGCTAAGGAGGAAGTTAGCAAAACATGAGCCAGGCATATGAAGGCCACAAGTTCAATCCCCAACATTGGGAGCCAAGTTAGTTAACGAAGACGATAACCACAATCTTAGAGACACCGCAGCTATACTGTGGCAGGAAGTTTCCCCAGTGTAATTGTCAGGGCTTTAAACGTCATGGAAAACGTCTCAGTTATTGTTACTACAACAATGCTGAGCTCCGTCATGTGCACGAGGAAAAGAAGATGGTCAAACACATGCACTAAAATATGCACCATGGGGGGCGGTGCTAAAGTCTTCTGCACACCCAAGGGCAGAAGAACAACTCGGTGTCTCAGAGTACCTGCATCTGCATCAGTGGCCTGCACTCTGGTCAACAGTGTCCCCGGCTCCGTGTTTTCGAACACGGTGATGGTGTACGGATCCGCGGTGAATTCGGGGGCGTTATCATTCACATCTTCTAAGGTGAGCACAACGGCAGCCTGACAGGATCGTCCCCCTCCATCGGTGGCCTTGACAAGGAGATGGTAAACTGCCTGCTCCTCGCGATCAAGGGGGGCTAATGTTCTCAATTCACCTAGAGACAAAGAGGAGTTAGGACATGAACCATGATTATCCGTCATGTTTTCTTCTCCTACGAATACAAAATCCGAACCTCAACTCTCATCTGGAGAAAAATAGTGTCAACAATTCCTTACCAAATTAATAAGCTTAAAGATGAAGAAAATATGGATCATTTTCATCACAGAAAATGCCAATTATAAACCGAGGTCCACAAATTTAAGAAACACACTATATTATATAAGTAAATCAGAAACTTTAAGATACACTCTGAGCTTTCTCTGAGAAACTGAATAACTTGTAAATCCTAAAGTCCTTAGTTCAAGTAGCTGACGCTATGGCTACTTATTTTTACCTCATTCCAATCTTTATACTTTAAGTTCCTTTCGGGTTTAGATGTCATTTCCACTGCATCAGAATGAATTTTAAAAGGGGAAAAAAAAAATGCAATTTCCAGTCTGGCACATGATCTCATGTCACCTACATACAGGAAATACAAATTAAATTAGTCCCGAACTCCATGCTTACCTGTGTCTGGATTTAGTCTGAACTTTTCTGCACCTGAACCAAATAAAGTATAAGTAATCTCCGCGTTGGACCGGATATCTGCATCTGTGGCAGAGACCTGCACGACCAGTTTCCCAGGAAGGGCGTCTTCAGGAATGGTGTCAGAATATAAAGTCTACAAGACGTTAAACAACACCGTTATAACAGAAGCATTCAAACCGAGCCAAGGGAACGACGGAAAAGAAATCATTTCATTTGGCCGCGGAAGACGTGGGAAACGACCGAAGCTAACGCCCGAAGAGCTTTTTAAAAATGATCACTCTCCGAAAACAGATGTGAAAACAAGGAAGAGCCTTGTAACAGGCACCAGCCCCGTATCCGCGAGTCTGGCCTGACATTTAATCCACAGGATACAGAATATGATGTGTTTCCCAACAGTTTCATTCTTAACTCAAATGCTTATGCGAGAATGTGAAGCGGTAGCCCGGATTTCTCTAAAAACTCGAGGAAGCACATAGCCGTTACATTATATTTACTTAGTCTGAAGCACGGGGATTTACAATGCACAACCAACCATTCATCCCAGAGAACTGAATAACTATAGTTGGAAATGGTCTTCCGGGGATGGGGGGAAACTGGGGCTAGGTAACGGCCAGGCACATTGGTGGACGCCTGGTTTCCTCTTTCACACAGTTGGACACTTGGTTCCACTTCCAATTATCACGTTAGTCACACCATAAATAGAACACGAGGGAAAGAGATTATGCTGCTGCTGAATCACTTCTTAGGAAGAGCTTAATACAGGGAAATATATTTTATGGTTCACAAAACTGAGTATTTTGTAACAGTGATTATTATAAGTGGTTGGGTTCCCAATTATATTATTACCCAAGGCAGAGTGGTATAATATGCAGAAAATATGAATAGAGAAAAATGTTTTATATATGTGTGTATGTATATATATATAATATATATATATAGATAGATGGATAGATAGATATAGATATGTACGTACTCTAAAAAAGCAGATACACAGCCAGTCACTGTCATCAAATACGGTCATCCAGAAATACAAATATATGTTGGAATTAACAGTGCATTCCTTCTGATGATGAATTTTGTTTACTCCTCTGAGAACTTGTGGCAATTCTCCTATCTCAACCAAACGTGCTGGGATACCAGGTGTGTGCCCCTATGCCTGGATCTTCTGCACTGCTGGCAAATGAAGTTGGTATCCCCCACCCCCCATCCTCCACCCTGCTGCCTTCACTCTTCATACTGCAAGGCTTTCCGTTTCTACCCCAGCTCTGCAGCTGGGCGGCTTTTCACGGCTCAGCTCCAGCGATGGCTCCTGCTACGGCTCCACGGCCCCAGTAAAATTGGATCCCCAGCAGTAGCAGGTCATTCTACTGACCTCTTGGTTTCTCTGGTGTGAACAGCCCCACTGCCTCAAAATGGTCTGCTGAAGCACACCTGGGCTGTGCAGGAAAAGCTGCTGGCCAGATGTTTCCCCCCTCCCCCAAACAACTGTATCCTCAAAGGAAGAGATTACCACTACAAAAAGTTTAGAGAGCATTCTTAAGAGTCAGACACTAGAATAACTGGAATAAGAGGCCCGCGTTTGACAGTATTTCAGAAAAAAGTTCTCGACCAACTTAGCATGCCGAGCGGTCTTGAGAGTTTCTCAAGTTCTGTGCACCTGCCTCTCCTCCACCTCAACAATAAGTAGCTACAGCACAAAACACACGTGAACTACAGGCTGTCCTATGGGAAGAGGGACAGAGGCTCCCACAGCTGACGCACCGTCCCGAGGGAAGCACGCTTACCTTCTCACACACCGGGCTGTTGTCGTTGGCGTCAAGAACTTTCACTTCAACCCTGGCTTTGGAAGAGAAGGTGCCGTCGGTTGCTGTGATGGTCAGAAGGTAACTGTCCTTTTGCTCCCTGTCCAGGGGTTTCTTCACGTAGACCTTCCATTCATTTTGTATATTTTCGACAGCAAATTGCCCCAAAGCATCCCCTCCTAGTAAATCAAGAGAGGAAGAGGATGGCCAAAACTGTTGGGCTAGAAAGTGAATTAAGTAACCACGAGATAAAAGAAACTATACCCCCCCCCCCAAAAAAAATGATGACATTACGGCTTAAAGGGAATTAAGACCGTTCAAAGTATAATTAAAGTCGAAACTTTTCTGTTTTTGTTGCTCTGGTTTTGTATCCTAAGATGGACTGAACTCACTATGTAGTCTCGGCTACAGCCCAGGCTGGCCTCTCATAAAGAACCCTCCTCCCTCAGCTTCCTTTGAGCTGGGATTACAGGTGTGCGCTATACATACTACTACATATTAGCTTTTCCCTTTATAATAATAGAGCAGTGCCATTTCTATTCAAATATGAGATTAAAGTTTATCAAATAGCTTGTAATAAACCTATACTTTTCCTTTAGATGTTATTTATTAAATACTAACTGTTAAGTTTAACAAAATAAGTCATAGGAGTCTTGGCTGAAAAAGCTCTGCTGAAAGGCCTAAGTTCAGCTTGCGTGTTATTTCTCCTCATGTTGGACACGCATGACTGAAAGCACACCAACTCTGCAAATCCATCAATCCATACCTAGCATACCCCATATAACACGGGGTCCCTGCCCACTGCACATTGGTCGGGAGCGGTTTACCTGTTATAAAGTAGGTCACTTGTCTGTTAATCTCCTCAGAGTCGGCATCGGTGGTGCTCAGGATGGCAATCACGCCACCTGGAGGGTCGTCCTCACTCACAGTCCCTTTGTAAATCTCAGCCGTGAACCGGGGCGGGCTGTCGTTGACATCGGTGACAGTAACATCCACGATGGCTGTGGAGGACAGCTGAACCTTCTCGCCATGATCCGACGCGACCACTTTAATCTGGTAGCTGGCTCTCTCTTCGTGGTCGAGCTCCTTCAGGGTTGTAATCCAGCCCGTTTCCATGTTAATGGCAAAGGACTCGAGGATGTCTGCACCTTGGGATGGATCGAGGCTGTACATGACCTGGCCATTGGCTCCCGAGTCTAGGTCAGATGCCCTGACCTGGATGACCCTACTCCCCCCGGGCAGGTTCTCGACAACAAATGCTTCATAAGGGTTGGACTCCAAAACTGGGCTGTGATCATTGACATCTTTCACCTGGATACTAACGTCGACAGAAGCCACCACCTCAGCGTCATCAACAGTACACCTGGCCAGGACAGAAAACTGAAACCACTTAGTGGTCTCGTGGTCAAGACTCTTCTCTAGCTTCAGCCTCCCGGTCTGCCTGTCAATCACAAAGAACTCGTCTTTATTACTCTCGGGAGTATTGCCTTTGACCAGAGTGTAGAGAACAGCCCTGCTATGTTCTACCCGGATGAGGTCAATTTCTGTTCCAATGGGTATGTCTTCTGAAATGTCGTAGGTATAAAAGGGCTCTGAAAACCGTGGAAGCTGCGTTTCCGGTGGAAGTATCCGGACATAGACAGGCACAACGGATTCTCTGGGCGGAGACCCGTTATCCACAGCTCTAACGAAGAAAGTGAAGAATTCATTCTCCAAACCAATTAAACTTTCCTTTGTTGTAATTAAGCCGGTCAGCTTGTTGATTTCCAAATTCTCCTTCACACTTTCAGAGTCCGCCTCGATGGTGTAGGTGACGTCAGCATTAGAGCCTTCATCGGCATCACTCGCAAAGACTTTAACGACCGACGTTCCTTTGGCGGCGCTGGATCCAATGTTCACTTCGTACTTGGTTGAGCGGAACTGCGGGGCATTATCATTGTCATCTGTAAGAATGACATTTACGGTGCAGAACGCCACTTTCCCTCCAGCGTCCTTTGCCATTAAACGGATGGAGATTATTTTTTCTGCTGGGGTCTCTCGGTCGAGCTTTTCCAGAGTGAATATCTGTCCTCTGTCATTCACGTAAAATCTGTCTTTTGCAAAGTCATTCACGAGATGGTAAGTTATGTGATTGTAAATGCCAGAGTCCCTATCCGTCGCCTTCACCTGGACCACCAGAGTATGCAAGGGGGCATTTTCGGCCAGTTCCACCTCGTATTCGTTCTGAAGGAAAACGGGACTGTGCAAATTGCCTCCCATCACAGTTACGTGAACCTGAGCGGAACTTCGAAAAACCCCATCAGACACAGACACATTGAGACTGTAGAACGGCTTCAAGGTGTGCCGGCGCAGGTTTGACAGCGTTATAATCCCCGTTTCGCCACCGATGACAAAGCTTTTATGATCATTGCCGGACAGGATGGAATACTCTAACTTGTCTAGGTCCGAGCTGTCGGCATCGCAGGCTTTTACACACATCACAAAATGCCCATGAGCTGCGTGCTCGCTAATTCTGGCTTCATAAATCTGTTGTTCAAACAGGGGTGGATTATCATTGAGGTCGGTGACATCCACGGTGACGATGACATCACTGCTCAGTGGGGGCATCCCTCCATCCACAGCCCTTACATAAACCTTGTGCTGCTGGGACTGTTCGTAGTCCAAAGGTCTCACGAGTGAAATGAGCCCCGTGCTGCCGTCTATGTGAAAGTGATCATGACTTTTGCTATGATTTCCAAACATCTGGTAGGAAATCCCTCTGTTTGGTTCTGAATCCGAGTCCGTGGCTCTCACTTGAAGGACGGGTGTTCCGATGACAGAGGCTTCCGACAGGGTTGTGGTGTAAGACTGCTGCACGAACACGGGAGGGTTATCATTGATGTCCTCCACTATGATGTCAACGAAGACTTCGGCGTGAGCGCCCGTCAGGGAGTCGGTTGCCCGTATGCTCAGTTTGTAGGCTGGGTGGGACTCGAAATCCAGCGGTGCTATGACATTTATTACCCCAGTGTTGAAGTTAATAGTAAACTGATCGAAAGGGTCTCCGTCTGTGATGCTGTAGAACACTTTCAACCCTTCTGGGCTGTTGGCTTGGACGTGGACCACGGGACTGTGCACCTGGATGTTCTCTGGAATCTCGGCGCTGTAGAAAGCCTTTTCAAACACAGGCATGGCTTTGTTCATGACAGTTATGGGAACTAGAACTTCGGCAGAGAAAGCTGGGCTCCCTCCGTCCTTGGCAACCACTGTCACAAGATACTCCTTATTCAAGGTGTCGGGCTCAAACTGTTTCTTCAGAGAAATGTCACCGGAGGGCCCAATCTGGAAGTGCTCGTGATGCTCCTTGAGGTAGTAGTGGACCTCCCCATTTCGGCCGCTGTCTCTGTCAATGGCTGTGACGTAGCGAATGACGTGGCCCACCTCGGCATCCACCTTCACGACAGCGTAGTAGGGGAGGTTGACAAACACAGGCGCATTGTCATTTTGGTCTTCTATGGTGACTTTCACCACGACGTGGGCCACTGCTGACGGCTCACGTTCTCTGGTCACTTCTACGACCACATCAAACGCTTCCTGCTGCTCGCGGTCAAACGGTATGCCGGTGGTGGACAGCACGCCTGACGTGTGGCTGATCTTGAACCTGCGGTCCGGGTTGAGGATGTGATGAAACAGAGGCTCGTTGATCGGGTTCCCCTTGGCAGTAATGACAGCGAGCGTCTTGGTTTCCGTGGTGTTCTCCTTCACGACGGCAGAGTAGACGTCTTGGGTGAACTTGAGTGGGCTCTCTTTGCTTTCTCTCACGTTGATCTTCACAGAGGTCGTGCTGGTAAACCTGCCGTCAGAGGCTCGCACGGTTAGCTCGTAGCGGCTTCGTAACTGAGTCGTGTTTTGTATTGTTATCGTGCCCGTCTTGTAGTCCATTGAGAACTTCTCCCCAATGTTGCCTTCGGTGATGGAGTACATTAACTGTGAGAACGCCCTGGAGTCGGCATCAGTGGCGTTCACGGTGATGACGTTCACTCCTTTGTATGTTGGCAACAGAAGAGAGGCTTCATACAGCGATTGAGAGAAGACGGGAGGGCAGTCGTTGATGTCAATGACATGAATCGTCACATTGGCTGCATGCTCGGCAGACAGACGCGGAGTCCCCATGTCGTGCACTTGCACAGTGAAGTGGAAAGCGCGTGTTTCCTCATAGTCCAGACTCAGCACGGTGTGGATAGCGCCAGTGGTGGCATCGATGGTGAAAGAGCTGTGCACGGACGGCTCAACGATTTGATACACGAGCAGAGCATTGGACTCCCGGTCGGCATCCGTGGCTCGAATCACCAGCGGAACATTCCTATCTGTCAGAACCACAGTGTTGACCGAAGCGGATTCGCTAACGAATCCTGAATATTCTGCCTGGGCAAACACTGGTGGGTTGTCGTTCTCGTCCTGCAAATGCACAACAACAGTGGTGTTGGTGGACAAACCAGCCATGTTGGTCCCTTGTACGGTCAAAGTATAAATGGGCAGAGTTTCGAAATCCAAGGCTTTCTGAGTGACGATGCTTCCGGAATGGGGATTAATATCAAAGGCATCGCCTACGTTTCCATCTTTGATTTCATACATCACCGACGACTGGCTGTGAGCAGAGACCATCCCGACAAAAGTGCCAACGCTGACGGCTTCGCTGATCTCCACGGAGTACTCTTTGGACGTGAACTTTGGGGAGGCGTTATCAGCGACGGTGACGGCGATGTGCACAGCGGTCATTTCGTTCATTGGGGGATTGCCTCGATCTGTAGCTTTTACTATTAAATCATACTCTACTTGGTTACTTCGGTCTAATTCTCTGGCAGTTTTTATAGAGCCCAAGATGGGGTCGATTGTGAAAGAATTTCCAATGTTTCCTGGAAGGACAAGAAAAAAAAAAAAAAGGAAAGCATCTATTAGAGAAAAACCCAAAGGCGACAGAAAGAGCAGAGAAACAGAAAAAGAGATATTTAAAAAACTTACATCCTGAATTAAATAGGAAAGCAGGGAATATCAACAATTGGATGAAACCTTCCACTTATTTCATTTTTACTCCTTTAAACTGTTCAGAATTTTGGCTGTCAAATATGAAAAGCAAGAAAAAGAAAAAAATACTGTTCTGTACCTAAAGCCAAAACTCTCTCTGCTGAACTGAAAAATGTGTTGTAGAAACACACGGCTCTCCACTTGCACGGCTAAGCAGTTTCCAACAGTGTCCTGAAATCCTGCAGGGTGCATCAAGTCCTCAGTGTTCACCGCTTACAAGAAAGAGTTTTAATTCACCGAGAAAACTTGCACTGCGCTTGAGGAAAGCCTTGTAGGTAGTTAGGGAACCGAGAAGCAATTTTCTGTAGCCTGCCCTAGCTGTCAAGTTTTGAGGATTTCAACAATATTCCCTCCTTAACCTTTTCCACATTGACTGATCTACTAGTGGGCGCCTCTCGAGTAGGCGGGATTTTGCTTCCAGGGAGACATCTGACAGTTTGGCTGTCGCAACCCGAAGGGAGGAAGTGCTACTACTTCGTGGATGAGAGCGGCCAAGAGACAAAAACAGTTTACGCGGCACACCAGAGCCTCCGCAGTGAGGAGTTGTTTGCTTCAAAACATCAACAGTGCTTATGCAGCCGAGAAGCAAACTGCTAGGACAGATGGTTGTACTGGCGTTTCTTTGGACGTCTGCAGCCTGTCCTACGCAGAGTTAGTATTTCCTCAAGTCCAAACCTTCCCATAGCAATGGCAGTTCTAAAGAGACCAGTCGTTCTCTAGATGTTCTTGACGGAGCTGAGGCACTGTGTGTGTGTGTGTGTGTGTGTGTGTGTGTGTGTGTGTGTACGTGTGTAAGAGGGTATCTTTGGGTTCTACCCCTCTGTGAATCCTTCCCAGACCTTTTCTGTCTTATAAATAAGCATCTAGAAATCAGCCCCAGCACTGACTCCATTCTTCCCAAATGCACACTGCATGGCAAAGCTACGTTCACTTGCCATTTTCTCACACTCCTCTTCCTTCTGGGTTTGACACCAGCACACCCTTCACAGCAGAATGACTTAGCGTGATCTGCAAACCAGAGGATTAACTAACGAGCACTTCTTTCTGCACAGTAAACACAAGCACTTGCTCTGCAGTGTTCATTTCCTTCATTAAATACATTTTCCAAAAATCCACGACATTTTTTTTCTGAGGCCAGACGTAGCCTGGTTTTCATTAAGCTGGCCTGGCTCTGGGTCTAAGCCCCAAGGCGATGCCTCGGTCTGAAAACAGGGCGGAAGCCCAGGCTCCTCCAGACCCTTAAGGTCTGGGCTGAACCTTGGCCCGGGCCTCTGCCAGGCTGCTCAGACACTGATTTCCGGTCTGTCTGTATTTAGGAACATCCATGATCCCAGGTTGTCACTGTGTCTTAGGCAAACATCAAAACTCAGAGATCCTTTCTTGTTCTTCCCGCCCATTACTCTCATCTTGCAAACCTGTGGTGACTGCCTAGCCTAACAGGTGCACCTGCTCACAGTTTGGGCAACTGAATTTATCCCCCTACCTCAACCGAAACCCCGAGTCTTTCTTATGCCTGCTTTGGAAAACAGCCCATTTGATAACATTTATATCCCTTCATTTGCATGTATTTGTCCTATTTTCCACAGTGAAATCTTATTTGCCAGTCAAGTTTCATAGGTCCAAGGCCTCAAAATGAAGACATGAATCAACGTTTTTGATGTGGCAGAGATGGACAGTGTTATGATGCGTGACTGTGTTCCTAGCATCCTCTGCTCTTCTCTTATCTCGGGCCTGTATACTGACCATGTTGTCTCCCAATGTGGCCTTCCCTAGCTATTCTTACAATTTCTCCGTTCACCTATTTACACGTTCACTCAGACTTTAACTGAATGGCCCTGCCTGAAGGCCTTCTTTGACTTGCCTGTCCGGTATGACTACTTTTATTCTTTATTATAGTTTTTCATTTTAAGTATTTTCTTTCTTCCCACTCATTTATTTTTGGTTTGTCTTTTGTTTTTGTGCAGTTCAGACTCATCAAGAACACACTGGCCGGATGGTGGTGGCGCACGCCTTTAATCCCAGCACTTGGGAGGCAGAGGCAGGCGGATCTCTGTGAGTTCGAGACCAGCCTGGTCTACAAGAGCTAGTTCCAGGACAGGCTCCAAAACCACAGAGAAACCCTGTCTCGAAAAACCAAAAAAAAAAAAAAAACAAAAAAACAAAAAAAACCCCACACACTATGTATCTCAGGTTGGCCTCTTATTTATAATCCTGCCTCAGCCTCCCAAGGGCTGCAGTTAAAGGCATATGCTGTCACACCAAGCTTCTCCATTTTCTTTATAGCTTGTAGAACATTCTTGCTATTTATCAAGAATTTTGCTGTGTAAAATTCAAAACTATTTTTCATTATCTGGGAGACCCCAGCGTTGGATTCAGAGGACCCTGAGCTTGTCACACCAGAAGCCCAGCCAGAGACTCGGTCTTTGGATCTCACGTGTGTATGTACTGAGGCACAAAGCATCAGATGTACAGAAGAAGGCTGCAGACTGTCAGGTAGCAGGTGCACTCCCCAAGCCCTGGAATACATGTCTGCTCGCTGCTGATGAAAATGAGGCGAGCAGAAGCTTGTACTAGGGTGGGGTTGACTCGCTTGCATTAGCTGGAGCAGTACAACTTTAAATTCATCTCTGCATTTCAGAAGGAAAACGATCTGTACTAACAAGCCAGTGTCACCCTTAAGCCATGACTATTTCCTATAGAGTACAAAAGAGAGACAACAGATACAGCCTGTGTTCAGTAAGCACTTGCTGACGGTGTGGGACCCTCTACCAAGTTTCAGTGGCAATTATGATATAAGTTTGAGGAACCAAACCAATCCTAATCAATTAATACTTTCACCAAGTGTTACCTCTCCCCAGGGGTGAGAAAAGGAGTAAAGTAATGCTCTATCTACTTTTCGACACACCATCACCTTCCAGCCCAGAGTACAGCGCTAACATATCTACTTTTTCAACAAGCCAACACCTTCCAGCCCAGAGTAGAGCGCTTATGTGTCTCTGGTAGGTAAACCAGTTGCAAATGGAAATACTTTTCATTAAACTCCTTTCCCTGAGGACTCCAAATCAGACTAAATCTTTTGCTCAATAAATTTCTCTTAATTAAACTTACGCAGTATTACGAGTAAAATTTAAAACCAGAACCAGAATTCCGAACTTTATTAGGTGTAATCAGATATAAGTTAAAAGCAGCTGATTATGAACCAAGTGTTCAATGAAAGGCAGTGTGAACATTTTACAGTTCCTTCTATTCCAGCAGGTGTTGTGTATCTACAGACACGGGCACATGGTAATGCTACTGCGTTCTCACAGTAGTAGCTTCCTATGAGAGGTTTTGTGTTTTGTTTTAATTTTTCAGTCTAATGCTACACGATGAAAGCTGTCCTGAAACCCTGCTGCACCAGTGGGAACAGCCCACTGGTGTCTCGTCTATTCTCTGGGGAGAGACAGAGTTCCATTCTTAGGATACCAAATTACTAAGGCCATCAGTCATCACAAACACTCCAAGAATGCGCAAGCCTTCACTCGGGCACCAGCAATCACAGTTTAGACACCCAGTTGTTGAGAATTATGTGAAAGCAAAGGGGAAAAAAATGAGCATTTTCTCCTCCACCAACCCAGTCGGTTTGCCCGCGACAAAGTCACTTCACTGAGGGTTCAGGCATGCACGGATGGAATGCGCTGTTTTCCTAATTGCTAAATTTCTCAAGCAGTGGGGGGAAAATTTCTTTATGTCTATCCAAGGCACTAACTCCACTACCGTGCATTTTAACATTCTAATCATAAAATCTTATTTGGGAATAACGAAGTCAATCCAGTTTTTTTTTTAAGAGGAAACAAGTGAGTTTTCAAACACGTAAGGAAATAAAAATAGTTTGATCGGCGCATAAGCACACCAGGAGGTATTTGTGTCAAAATCACTCTGTATATACTCAGATTTATTTAGTGTCTGTGATCTATAGATAATCTACAAGCTCTATGGATTCGATGCCTAGAAGACACCATGTATAAGTAAAGAGAGCTATGCACTTAAAAAAATTAGATTAAAATACCCTAAATTCATTACAAAGAATGAAATTGGCTTTATTTCTTCAACTTCAACAGTGAGGACTGTAGGAAACTGAGGTGCCTTCTCCACACGCATCACTGACTGGAGTGAGCAGGGCTAGGAACTCCTAGCTGTGTGAGCATGTGCTCCAAGGAGAGCCTTTCTCGCCTCACCCACGTGAGGCCGATGGAAAGCCCCACCTAATAAACACAGCATGGAGACCTCTCACACAGTACTTGGCACACAAATGGCGCTGCCTCGGTCCCCGGGATGAGTGAGCAGCAGCGGAAAAAGAACAGCCAGCACCTGTTCTACTGCTGTGACGGCACCGATGACCCTCAACTGGGGGGCTCTTTCCTGATTTTATTCTGGAATTCCTAGGCTCGGGCTCGGTTTACCCTTCCTGGCTCAGGCCACCACTGTGCTACCTCTAGCCAATGCCAGAGACCCCTTCCAAAGACTTCTCTCTCCAGAACCAACCACCCTAAGGCCTGGTTCAACAACTCGGTCCTATGCATGTCATTTAACTGCTAATGGTAGGTGGGGATGGACTGTGGGGCGAGTCTGCAAGGCGTAGGAAGCAGGGTGCCCCTTTTTGAGCCAAGACGGGAGAGTCTTCACGCTGTCGTGGCATTTCTTACTCGGAGCCAGAGAAAATATTCTCATTAAAATGTTGAATTTCTAAGCCAGCATTTTCCTGACTGGGTTCAGAGCCTAAAATGACTGCCTAAAATAATTCCGGGAAAACGGAATTAGAAAATAACATTTCCCTGCCCCCGCAGGATATATCAGTCTTAATTTATGTTAATACTGGTAATCTCCAGAATTCTTGACACTCAAACTTATTAGGCTTTTATCTTTGTTCCTTGGCGGGTTTTTTTTTTTTAAGTTAAAAATTTAAAACATGTTTGCAGTGGTACACAGAAATGCTTCAATACCTAGAAGTAATTTTAGAAAGCGGAAGATACACTTTTCAAACAGAAAGACAAGACTCCATTGCTTCAACAAATACCTGATTCGATGGAGTAGAGCACTTCAGCATTTCTCCCTTTGTCTTTGTCCAGAGCTGTAACCTGCAGCACCACCGAGCCCACAGCAGCCGACTCGTACACTCGGCCTTCGTAGGAGGAGCTGGTGAACCACGGGGCGTGGTCATTCATGTCGCTGACATTAACAACGATCCTGGCAAAGTTGCGTTTCACAGAAACATCCTGATCCCGTACCTGAAAGAATCAACACGCTGTTATTCTCCTGGGCTGCTTCTTTCCTGTGGACTAAAAATAAAAAGGTATCGCCATCCCTCCCCATTACAGGAAACCTTCGGGTCAAAAAGGGCGTGGCCGTACCATGACCGTGAGCACGTGCCGGTGGATGGCTTCATGATCGAGCTTTTCCGAAGTGTAGAGAGCGCCGGTGGCAGGATCCAGGCGGAATTTCTTGAGACTCACGGGGTCTATGCTGCTCTGTAGGGTGTAGATCAGTTTGTTTTTCTCATCCTTATCCACCGCGCTGACCTGCAGAATCTCCGTGTCTGGCTCTGTGTCTTCGGGAACAGTGACTTCATATTTTGATGTAGAAAACTGAGGGCGGTGGTCATTTGTATCTATGACTTTGATAAGCACCTGGAATGAGCGACAAAAGGACTTGGATAAAGATACACTCATAATTAACTGAAAAATGCTGTTGAACCAAATTAAATGTGAATAGGAGAAATAAAAGCAACAACAGTCTAGAATCAAAGAAACCTTCTAAAGATTCTTATCTTTGGTATATTATTTACGTAATATTGAACAATAACTATGGAAATAGGATTCTGGACACAGCTGAGAATTCCTTATGAAATGCTGGCTAACTTGCCATAGGTCTCTACAAGAGACCTCTGGAGACGGTTCAGGAGAGGTATCAATTTACTTTGCCAGTATACCCATTTCCTATGTTAGATTCAGGCCAGTGAGAGGGGTGGCAATGTTACCTAAATTTCTCATTCTAAACCCTGCGACTCCAAGTCCCTCATAAGATTTTAATACAAAAGAAACAGCTAGAAATCACTGAGGATGTACTTCAATGATTGGGAACTTCCTAGCATACGTGAGCCGAGAGTTAGAACCCCACTGCTGCCAAAATACGCTCTTAAATTACAGTTCCGTGGCTTCAAAATCCCTAAGTGGCAAATGTGTCTTTCCTAAAGGCAATTAAGTAGGTTGAACAGAAAACTCTTGTCAAAGATAGTGACATAAAATTAAAGTTTTAGAGCAAAAAGGAAGATGTCAAAAAAAACTTAGTCATAATTAGAAACAAAAAATATTTACCTTGACAGATGATTAATTTTTAAAATGAAGTGATTTAGATGGACAGCATAGTAAAACTCAGTATCAATCATAGAATATGGCTTACTTATAGTTTATGAACAAGAAAGCCAAGTTTCACTAGCTTCTACAGAACACAAGGGTTTGTTAATTTAAGAGGAACAAGGGGGCCAAAGTTCTAGTGATGCCAGGTAACTGTAGACCACGCGGCTGCACCCACATGAAGATGGGATTTTCCTGAGACTGTAACCGTATTCCCAAAAAGACCACAGTGTCAACAGATGCATTTTCACGCTCAATTCTATGTGAATCCTAAATCCATTTACCAAACCACAAAAGAAGGTTTTATGTGGAAAGTATGTAACCATTTGAGTCTACTGATGGCTCGCTTTTAAAGATAAAAGAGGACCCAGGAGGCGCAGCTGCAAATGGCCGTTCTTCTATAAATCAAATCCTGGTCGATTTACAAGTTTAAAACTTGACCACGAAGTGCAAACTAGGCAGGAGTCTGATGCTGTCCTGGGTTCAGCTAAAAAGAACGGGTGACCCATTTTGACAAGGCAGCTCACGAGACACGCTCTTGCCGAGCACTGGGCCAGCTCTCACCCACAAGGTCTAAAGGCGAAGAGCAAGGGTGCAATGGTGGCTCCCGTCTCCAGGGGCCATGTCATATTCCTCCGAAGCCTAAAAGCTGCTAGCACGTCATAAGGTGAGGTTTTGAAAATCCAGAGGTGGGTGGGGGGCTCTCCAAAGTAAGGAATACTGAGAAGAAATTGAGAAGAAGATGATTGGCCAGGAAGGTCGAAGTTGAGAATGCCTACCTATCTTTAAGAGACCGGAAAGACTTGGACCTGAAGAAACAGAGGATCAGGAAGAAGATGGAATTGAACCTGCACCGCCTGAACTCCCAAGCTAAAAATGGAGAATTCGCTATCTTATATACTTCACACCCTTCCAGCAGAAGAAAGGCAATCCACCTCCTCTTCTCAGTTAAGCGGCCCCAGAGTCTCAGGGACCAGAGACAGAAAGCAAGAGATGTTTCAGGAGCCTGCACAGGGATGCTGGGTGACATCTATGTCACAGGAACATGTCCTGAGGAGAGGCTGTAAGAGCATGCAGAGCGAGTCCTCTGCCCTCTCCCCTGACCCTCAGAAGAACCGGGAAGGTGGCTAGCACTACCCACTCCCCTTTCTTTCCAGCAGAGGCAATAGAAATAGAGTGAGTCTGAGGTTTGTTTCTGCGCAAGAGCGAGAGGTGTAGACAAGTCTCCAACCAGGCTGCCTTCCCAGAATGCAACAATCGTGTTCCAGGGGAAATGCAAGAAAATGGGAATGAAACTGCTTCAGTACAACCACACCAGCCTGTCTTACAAAACAAGTAAGCAAGCAAACAAACAAAAAGCAGCTCAATTTGTAAGTTACCTGGAGACACAAAGGAGAGAAAGGAAAACGATTCAACCTGGTGCCGAGGAACATCCTGACTGGAAGGATAAAGTTTTATGTGTGGAACCTTGGCATCCACCCTGCCTCCTCCCTGCTCTACTCTGCAAAGAGAGCATAGGGCCTGACCGAACCATCACCCAGTCCCTCCCACATCCGGTACCTGGCCGACCGACCTGAATGCACAAAGCTGTTACGTGGGTTCTTGATTTCCACAAACAAACCTGCATCTGTCCATTGTTCCAGGCCATATCGGTGTAGCTCAGGTGCCCGTGGGCCTCTTCACAGGACCCAATCCCCTCCATCCCAGATCTCTATCTCCTTGCACACAGTCCCAGACGGAAACCTAAACCTAATGACTGCCTGCTCGCTTTGTCCCCACCATCACAGGTCAGCCTGGGCTCTGTCACATTGTCTTGAATTCCGAGACCCTCCCTGTGCCGGTGATCCCTTGGGACACTGCCAGGCCTCTCCACACAGGTGCCGCAGTAAGTTACAGAACCAAAAACACCTGCCCTGAATTTTAAGAGGAATTTTAGCAATGTACATCAAAATTGCAGACCGAGCACCCAACCATTCCGAAGACGCAGTTTTGCAGGGAAGAGATGCATTACCAATTACCTCCTGACGAGGTAAAAACACCATGTGGGTGCACGGCTGTAGTCACGAGAACGGCTGCTACAGAGGGCCACTTCCACGGCTTCCCGAATCCCTCTGGCTACATTTCCAGTTACTCACACGAAGGCGACCGTGCACAGGGACACTGCTTAATCTTACTATAATGTCTGAAGCTTTAATTCTCACTCTTGCGCTCTGCAGTTCGGCATCGGGGGCTCGTTTCCAAAGAGAGAAAAATCCACGCGTGCTGCTTGTTACTCCAATGAGATGCGCGGCGAGAGAAACTGCAGCAGGGCACTGCACCTTCCCCACGGCCACTCGAGACAATCCCCACAGCGTCAACCACATACAGCACGTGCGGCCAGTCTCACGGACTTTAAAATCACAGGCACCGGGAGAAAGGACTAAAATATTTTTATAGCTACCCTTAAATTATCTAGTCATTTATTAACTGAAACTACATCCCAGAAGTGTAATTTGCAATCGCGAATGCAACTAAATGACAGAGGGGATGACCTGTCTCATTTACGGTTTCGGAGAGCATAATCTAAAGACAGAAAACTTCAGAAGCATCTCCGTCTCTTCTCTAAGCTTCAGCTTCCTTAGGGATAGTTAAGTAACACACAAGCCTTTTAGCTTCGGGATTTGAATCCTGTTGCCACACTTTTCCTTCTAAAGAAACATGTGGTCTAATAAAATTGATAGAGGGAGGGAGGGAGAAAGGGGGTTAAGAAGGACAGGCAGACAGGCAGGCTTCCTGCTAAAACCCAGTTACTAGTCATCCAGGAACATCACTTTGGACAGCCACTACTAAGCATCATCAGAGAATTCACTTAAAAAATAGAATTCAATTAAAATTCAATTCATTTACAGGGTTTTAACATTAAAGTTTGAAAACCAGAAATCTAGCCAGCCACGGACGGTCAGATAACAAAAAATAATAGTGCAAAAGAATTGTTGGTCAAATCTCACTCACGAGATATTTTTTTACACAAACCTGGGTTTAGTTTGAATGAAAAGAACAGGAAGGAAGAAGGGGAAGAAGGAGGAAGGAAGGGAACCAACCTGCCAGCAGTTTAAGCTATTAAGAGCTTCAAGAAAATGATGTGTATAGCTATAGCTCATCCTGTGGGAAAACTCCAGCACCACGGCTTGAAGGAAGCATTGGACTAAGCCTGTGAGGGGAAGTGCTAAGACTGCGCGATGGGGTCAAGTCTCCTCTTGACATTTTCATGAGACTGTTCAGCAGAAGGCACAGAAGGCACAACCGCACTCAGGATCTGCGGTTTCTGTCCCCGAGTAAGGACTCCTGGTGTGTATGTGTGTAAACTACACCAACACACAACTGCCTGTGCTGTCTGCGCATCCTGACGGCAGGGCGTTTTCTCAGTCCTGACAGAGGCATCGCCAGCGTTCACTTACCTGGGTGAGGATGGTGGAGGTTCCGTCTGTCGCCTCCACTGTGAGGTTATAGTTGGATTTCTGCTCTGCATCGAGGGGTTTGGCAACAATGATCGTGCCGGAGCCCTTGTCGACATCGAAGTGACTGTCATAGTTGCCACCTAGTTGAAATTCGGACAAACAGAGGTGCTAGAGCAAATCACACAATCTTTATTTGTTTAAATATTTATTTTAAACAAATATTTATTTGTTTAAAAAACAAATCTGCCATGTGTTTTATAGCTTTCTGATACTCAATGGCCATGAAAACAGACGTTTAATAACACAATGATCAAAGTGAACTGAAAGGACTAGGATTTCCAAACATAGGAAAGAATGGCTAGCTCTTCAGAGTGCTTTTACACAACACTGGACCTTAATGGTAAGGAAAGGTCAAGAACTGAGAAGAAAGCAAGTCCACAAGCAAACAGCCCTGCTAACCCTACCTGTCAATTACTTCGGATTTTGCAGGTATTATAAAAATTTGTGCATGATTATGAAAACCTCACTGAAAATAGTTTTTATTACTGAAAAAAAAAGAGTTGTTTTATTTTGAATATACTACGCTCAGTAGTAATAGCTTAAAAACAAATGTGAGCTCTGAAAGAAACAGTTACATTTAATTTGAATCAGATCTATTACGGACTCCTTAAAACTACTTTTCAGAAGCAAGTCTGCCGGTCCTATTTACTATCCAGATATCTATCCCCCAGTTACATTCTATTAAACTCTCTTCAAACCCATGGAGGTTGAGACACTCATACAAATAGAAAAGAAATGGAATGAAAAAAAAAATAAGGCTTAATGTCATACTTAAATTATAGGCTAAATCTACCCCAAACAAAACAGACAGGCAGACACACACAGACACAGACAGACAGACAGACACACACACAGAGTCATCTGTCTCAAACCTGAAACTACTGATGCAGGGACAATTAAGAGTCAACACGTTTGTGACTGGGAATGGGTGGCCATGCATATACACTATGTAAAGAACTGGGATGGGGGGGGGGGAGATCCGACTCTGAACACAAAATCCATGCTTTGATTTTTGATCTCATAATCACGTGGCAAATTATGTGATCTCAGCAGATACCTTCTGCTGTACAGTTCAGGTCACACGCCATCTGAAAGATGTAAAAGACGTCTCTAGCAAGCGTGTCTCCTGACACAGCCAAAGGAAGCAAGCAAGCGTGGAAAGCAAGCACAGAAGAAGAACAGTCAATCAAACCGGTCCCCAAGAGTAAGGAATTAAAAGCAAGTCTGATAACTGTACAACAGAAGCTGGTTAATCTGGAAACGTGAGGGAAGTGAAGAGAAAGAAAACATCGTGATTACGGTTAGTGATGGCACTCCTCACTTTCCCCTCTCAAGAACAGCAGCCATGGCTGCAGAGAGAACATTTTACACACTGGGAGGCAAGAGGCAACCTGGCTATGAGGTGAAAGGAAGAAGTGGGTGTGTCCCAAGTGGAGATGGTGGTTGCAAACAAACATACTTTTGATTCATAAAGCAGCCTTTTAATTAAAATCTTCTGGAGAGCCCATGGTGGTGGCGTAAGCCTTTAATCCCTGCACTTGGGAGACCGAGGCAGGCTGATCTCTGAGTTTGAGGCTAGTGTGGTCTACAGAGGGAGTTCTAGAATAGCCAGGGCTACATAGAGAAACCCCCTCTCAAAACCAAAAAGCAAAAATTGTGGTGAAAAGAACTTTTTAAAGGCCTAAGGCTAGGCATCAAAGCCCACACCTATGATTGTGGCTACTCTGGAGGCCGAGACAGAAAGGGTGACAAATTTGAAGCCACCCTGAGCAACTTAATAAAATCCTGTCTCGAAATTAAAAGGCAAAAACAAGGGTAGGTGCGTAGTGCAGTAGCAGAGCGCTCGTTTGTCAAGTTCGGGGACTGAGTTTGTCTAAAAGGGGGTGGAGAGGGCAGGGGATCGCATGCACTGTAAAGTTCTCATATGATCTTTTAAAAAAGCAAATCGAATATTCTAAGTGTGAGTTCATCAAATAGCAAAAATGCTAACTTAAGCATGTGTATTTTTTAGGAGGGCGAAGCTTCCTGGAAAAAGATGTAAAAATGAGAAGCTACCGCAGTCGCTTTAAATTTCATATAATCACGACTAATAACATGGCATGTGTATGATATAGATATGGACCTGGTCCAACACGTTTAGGTTCCTGAAACTCCCTGTGTATGCCCCCCCCCCGCCGCCCCCGCTCAAGTAAGTTTTTGCAAAAATGTTAACTGACTAAATGGTTTTCGAATACCTATTTTATGTTTGTTCTTTTTAAGTTTGTATGTGTGTGGATGGTTTTCCACATGTGTGCAGTGACCGTAGAGGCCGGAAGAGGGCATCAGAGCCCCTGGAAGTGGAGTTATAGAGGGTTATAAGCTGCCATGAGGGCGCTGGAAATAAACTCTGGTCCCTAGATGAGCAGCTGGTGCTCTATTGAGCCATCTCTACACACCCAGGAGTTCTTACGTTAGGTAATTTTAATGTATGTTGTAAGATTTTTCTTCTGCTGCTGCTGCTGCTGTCAAACCACTGTAGTTTAAGAAAACTCTTCACCTATAGCTCTTTCCCCGTAGTAACATTCTCAAGTGAGGAATCATCAGAAAACCCTGTCAGGTTCTCAGTGCGACCCACGCAAGGCTGACAAGAGCTGTGAGCAATGCTTACCGATGATGTCAAACCACAGAGGTACGCCCGGAGGCTCAACCGAGAGCATCCCAATCATGTGAGCCACCGGGTCACTTTCCATCACCGTAAATGTAAAAACCGACTCTTCAAATGAGATGGGCTCCAGCGACGGCTTGGGTTTGGAGATCCACTCGATATGGAGTCTGGTGGTGGATGACTTCTGAGGGCGACCGTTGTCAACTACCTTAATCTAAAAAAACAGGACCAGACGGGATGAAAGCAGCAATCGCAAGCTACGTCTCCTAGCCCAAGTCTAGATGCGTTTGTCTATTTCAGGTACTCCGGACTTGTATCAGAACACAGCGTATGCTCGATGCCTGGCGACAAGAATAATTGCTGCATGGCCACAGTCACTGGAGTGGGAGCTGACAAAGAAAATCAACCCGCACTTTCCAAACTCCGCCTGTCACTTTCTCAACAGAGAGAAAGAACTACACGGCTTATGTTCCCAGAAAGGCAAGAGAGAAATCCAACTCACTGAAAGAATGTCGTATTCTCCAGCCGCAGAGAACTTTTTGGATGAAACCACTCCCGTTTTGGGTTCGATGGAAAACCTGCCATGCTCGTTCCCTTCCTCGATGCTGTAGGACAGCTCGGCATTAGGCCCTTCGTCCTTATCCGCAGCTATGACGCGGTACAGGGGTTCTCGCTTGGCATTTCTTTCCCCGTCCGCTTTCTCTCGCTCCGGGAGCCTGATTTTGTAGAACTTCTGCAGGAACTGGGGCTTGTTGTCATTTTCATCAAGGATTTTCACGATGACCCCTGCAGTGGTGGATCTGGGGGGCGTGCCGTTGTCTGTAACAGTAACCTGGGTTTCGAAAGTAAGGAAGCCTTTAGGAAGATAACAAGAGGAGCCATTCCCGAGGTGAGGTAGTGTTTGCAGAAAGAGCTACAGCTCATATGACACCAGGGTTCATCCCACTGCCTCTCAAGGTGAGCCAAACTCTCCTGGCTTCACGGCAAAGAGATGGGGACCCGGACAGTGGCGAGGACATAGCTGCCACTTCTCACACGGTCAGCTCACAGATAACAAAAGCACCTGGTCCCCAGGCCTGGCTCGCTCTGCTACACCCAACCTCCGACGGTGGCCTTTGTTGGCTGCCCCATTGGTCTCCGTGTTACCGTCTACCTGTCTCCTTCAAATCCCCCCACCCCGCCACCCTCATTCTGCTAACGACTGGCCCCCAGCCATCACGAAGTAAAGAAATAAGTGCAGAAACATCTTAAATTAACCAGAACATTTCAGAAGAGGCGATGTTTGTTTTCCACCCATTTTTACTGTGGATATTTTTAGAAAATGTCTTTAGGTTATAAACAAAACCTGAGTGCAAAACTGCATGGCTAATGCAGTGATTTAAGAATAAAACCATCCGGAAATAAACAAAACACAGTTTAAACGGTTCAACTGGATCTCTAAATATGAGCCTGTCTTAAAGGCATATCTGAGGAAAAAGAAATCTATGGGACGTACAGAGAAGAATACCACTTCCGTAAACAAAAATGAGATTCAAATGGCACTGTTTGCCAATGTACTTGTAAATGTGTGTGAGGACTGCCATGTAGTAACGTATGAAATTCAGAAAGGTTCTGATGGCAGAGTCTGTTTATTCTGAGGATGTTTGAGGTGTGTGTGTGTGCGTGTGTGGTATTCATTATTAAATATGAGCAGCTATGAAGGCCGGAAGTCAGAGCTCTCAGGGTGGCTAGGAGGTGGATGCTTCAGAAGTAATTAGAAATAAAGGAAGGCTTACCTCGAGTATGTGCTCATCCTGCTGTTCCCGGTCCAGCTTCCTCGACGTGGTTGTGATGAGACCTGCAGAAAGGTGCAAGTTTATTGATCCTCACAAAATACCATCAGTTACGCCATGCCTGGCTGTTCTATTTAGTAACCACAGGAATTCGTTGCATTTTCTTGCAACGAGTAAAGCCTCCCGTAAAACTGCTGTCAGCGGAGACAGGTGCATCGGAGTGGGAGCGTGGCGAGAACGAGACCCGGGAGACCAGGTAAAGTCTGCTCCCAGGCGGGTGCTGGGGCGGTCCTCCTCCTTCCCGGCACTGCCAGGAGAATAGCTCAAGGGACTCAGGAACCAGCCCTCCGGCTGTGGTTGTCCACCCCACCAAGCCGGTTGATTTTCCAGGATGGAACAAGGAAAGGCCCACAAGTCCCTACCACTTCCTGAGGAGCTACTGGCAGTTGATGGTTTCTGGGCAGGCAAGGAGAGCTTTCTTACGAGTGTGGCCCTTTATGAGTAGACCGTTTTCCAGTTGGTGGCCCCATACCCATACATAAGCCTTTGCAGCATAATTGAACTTAGTGGAGTATTTTAAAAATGAAGTTGGGAGCCGGTAAAGGTTGATCTGGGGGGTTGGAAATGAGTGTGACCCAAACATATTATAGGAAATTCTCAAAGAGCTTACGAAAATGTCACATGAAGAAGAAAACCAACTTTCCTTAATAATTGATTTTCTCCTATAACAACGTTCACAGAAGCAATTAAAGACTATTTAAAATGTTCCTCTAAATTTGTAAATATAAGATGTGTATTTTAATCAACTCAATGCTTTTGGTTCTTATATCTACCCGGCTAACTTCCACATGCTGTGATACAGCAGTACTGTCGTTTCGACAAGACAGAAGCCTATGTTACAGTTAGACACTGGGCTTCTCCCCAGACAATAGCTACAGATGACAGGGGCTCAAGGAAGACAAGCAGCCCTGTAAGTAACAACAGGACAGCGCTGCCCAGTGTGGCATGAGGTTCCCTTTCAGTGGCAGACCTGTTAATCCTGTTTCCATGAGAGGTTCTCCACCACCACCCCTGAACTATGGATTCCTAAAAGTTAAAAAAAAAAAAAGATAAGAAATCATTTTTATATTGTCCTAATGCTCCTACCAAATCGTCGACCACTGTGTAAGATGGCACAGGAAACGGCGTGGCACGCTCACAAGACAAACTATCTGATGCTCACTCAGTCACTCGCCAAACGGTGCCCAACCAAATTTCCCTTCATACTTCACTTACATCAAACAGCTAACGAGGGACTTAACGATCTGTATTTCCGTTCAGTATGGAAGCAAGCTACCTGACACCCCTTTGCAGGTTTAGATTTAGAATTACCTGTACATCTTTCAGGCATCCGGCCAAATACCTCCCACCTCCCCACTCCCTTGCTCCATCCACATGCAACACAGGGCACAGAGGTTCCATTTAAATGTGGTGAACAGAAAGGCCTACTCCAATGTACTCTGGCGAGCCCCTCACTTTAAACTCCCCTGGGGTCAACCATTAGGTTCCCCGGGGTGCCAAAGCACTGATCCCAATGTAGACTACAACCCCCCAACAAGGTCCTGAGAGAAACTCTGCGTGTGTGCTTTATAGTTTTGCACACAGCACGTGTGATGATTCCAATGAAGGCTTCCTAGAGGCACAGCGCTCCCACCCCACCGGGAGAACTCCATCAAAGCTGTCCTGAGCTTCCTCCCAGGAGCCTTCACCAGGAGAGGCCATGCCTGTGCATCTGACATCACAGCATGAGGAGCCAAGGAGTGTTCAACTACAGACTTTTCCTTCAAAATGAACTTGAAATAGAATTCCTTAATGCAGCTGAGAACTAGGAGCCTCTGAGGTGTGCTCCACTTTACCAACCCAAATGAGAGGTCAGCACCCTGTACTCTGGCTCCTGGCCTGCGCACTTACTCTATGTACTTAACTCATCTTCGTCGTTCTGATTTAAAAGCCTCCTTCCTGCTGAGTCCCGCCTGACCTCCTCCCCACACGATGAACCCCTGCTTCAAACCTGAAGGTTACTGGGTGACCAGCCTTATAGTTAATAACTCAGTAGCATTAAATGCCATAAGAAACAACATTATAGAGTCCTTTTCTTCAAGAAATTTATATGTATGCCGCGTTCTCTCCTCCCGAATTCCAGAAAGACACACGCGCCAATAGAAAGAGCACAATGCTCAAGGTCAGGTGTCTGAGCGAAAAGGAAGCTGCTTTCTCCAAGGTCACCAGTGACTCATTAATAAGGTCACAGTTAGAATTTAGTTCTTGTGTGTCCCAGAGGAGGGGGTTGGCTTCCCATCACATCACGCATGCAAACTCACTGTGTTGTGGCATTTCAATTCTTAATAAAGTCTTAATTACGACTTCCTCAGAACTTAAGGGAGAAGTGGCCATGATTACTTGCTATTCATTTAAGTAGGTCCGAAAAAAGAAAGGCAGAAATGGGAAGAGAAGATAAAGGCAGAAAACATGCACAAGCAAGCGTTTCATTTTCTAACTCTCTATTTTTTTTTTCTGCTAGTACCTTGAAGCTAAAAATAGAAGAAAAAAAAAAAACAGGACAAAGACTAGAAATTTTCCTTCCCTGATTTAGAAAAACATTACATTCTCTATACAGGCTGGAAGAGGAGGTCAATTTCCGACCTTCCCACTAGTTACTAGTTAGCTACAAATCTACTTCATAAAGGCCTGTGAAAGTGAAGACCACCCCCAAACCTTACAGAAAGTAATAAACATGATTTAAAACTCACTTGTAGTCTTTCATATTACTTCCAAAATTTAGAAAGTTAAGACAGGCTGTCTGACGCACTATAATGCGTCAGTATTCGTCGAATTTTAAAAATCTTTACCTCGGGACATCATGCAACAAAGGTCTTCAAGAGGCAGCCAGCACACACACGGTGCCTAGTGAAGGCTGGCCAGGTGAAGACAGAGTTGCGGCTATGTGCTTATTTAACTTCTTTGTCCTGTCCGCTCAGAACCCAGACGTGACTACCAAAGCGTCCTGTCTCTGAGAAACAGGGGTGGAAATAAGAACTTGACAAGTTAGTGGTGTGCACGCAGAAAACACTCGCCGAGAAGGCTGATGTCCGAGAGCGGCAGAGTTTGGCTGGATCGCCAACTGCAGGTTGTACTCATCCCCTTCTTTCTCAGAGCCAAGCACCTGACTAAGCAGGGCCACCCAATACCAACCAGTCACAAGCCAGCAAACATCTTGCCACCTTTGTATAAACGATCAGCCAAGTCTGTACAAGGCCAGAAACGCCAACAGAATCCTGATCTAAATCAAGACTTTTTCTTTTTAATCCATACAGGTTTAGGATAGCTGATATAGCAAGTGGCTATCATAATTAATGGCTACAGGGCTTACTAAAAGCTCAGAGACTAACTAGGCTTTGATCTTCAAATACATTACCTACTGGATAATCTCTCTCTCTCTCTCTCTCTCTCTCTCTCTCTCTCTCTCTCTCTCTCTCTCTCTGATTCCAAAGATTCCTTTTTCCCCCAAAGACTAATCCTTATTCAAAAATTACGGGCACATTGGCAGTTTAGGAACTCAGGCCATCAGTGCCTAAAGTCTACATTAAAGTAGGAAACTTCTGGAGAGATGGCTCGGTGGGTAAAGTGACTTCTCTGGAAGCATGAAGACCTGAGTTCATCTTGCCAAAACTCACCCAACAGGTGGCAACAGTTGGCAAAGCGGTGCACACTTGTAACTTCTGCCCTGGAGAAGCAGAGGCAGGCAGATCCCAGGGACTTGCTAGCCAGCCAGCGTATCAAACACTGTGAGCCCTAGGCTCAGTGAAAGACCATACCTCAAAAATTAGAGTAGAAAGCAAGAAGGCGGTGTGTGTGGGGGGGGGGGGG